TAGCTATACGTCTAAGATACTATACTAGATATAGTTTCGCTAAGAATTAGCTATAATTAGAAGTTAATTAAAGTTCTAATAATACTATATATAGGTTTAACTNTTACGTAAGAATTAATAAAGAACTTATACTAATTAGTATAGATAGGCTTCTCTATAGAGAGTATTTAGTTAAGTAATAAAGTTAGTAGTATAATAAAGATTTATATTCTAATTTAAGAGAAGGTAGCGAACGAGCTAGCTATATATATAACACTTCCGCCTCCGCCTCCGCACCGGAACGGAACATCCATCAATCCGGCTAACTAAGCCAGTTCATGCGAGGTGGCCACCAAACCGACATGTAGGGCGCGGGGTCCCCGCGAGTGGACTGCGGTCGGTATAGGTTTCTGCTAACAAAAATCTTTTCCTTTGGCTGTTTTTGTTTCTTTCTCATCAACTCACATGGAAACTCTGCACGTAACGCTTTCACTCGCAGTCTGAACTACAACTTACCCTGTAAACCCCGCGAGAAGGCGCATGAGCAGGCAATCCAAAGGCAGCACGCCAGGACCAATTTCAGAATCGCACAACAAGAGCGACTCATACGCGCGTGAGACTAGGCCAACTTCGACTCTCGACCACGCAGCAACCACGGAACCATGCGAGGCTACAGGTTCACCGGTATCTGCGTCCCAGGCATCTTCTCAGGATGAAAGATCTCTGCACTCTCGTCAGAACAATGACAAGCGGTCTATCAATCACCAAGATGATTTCCCTTCGGCGGACCCAGAAGGCGGCAACAACAACGACGTAACTCTCACCAGAACGAAATCTACCATCGGCCCAGATGGAGAAATCTACCCAGAAGGCGGCGTGCGCGCCTGGCTCGTCGTCTTCGGCTCCTTCTGCGGCATGGTTGCCGCACTCGGCTGGATGAACACCATCGGCGTGTACGAATCCTATCTAGCAGAAAATCAGCTGGCAGATTACTCCAAGAGCACGATCGGATGGATCATCTCTCTCTACGTCTTCTTGTCCTTCGGAGCCGGGCTGGTCATTGGACCAATCTTCGATGTCTACGGACCTCGTCTGCTAGTTCTGGGAGGCGCAGTTCTCATCATGCTGGCGAGTATGCTCTTGGGAGTGTGCACTGAGTATTGGCATTTTATTGTCGTTTTCGGCATCTTGGGGGGAACTGGCACCGCGCTGGTGTTCACGCCTGCCATCGCTTCTGTTGGCCACTTCTTCTACGCGAAGCGCGGTAATGCTACGGGATTAGCTGCAACGGGAGGTGCCTTCGGAGGTGTTATTTTCCCTCTGATGCTGCAAGACTTGTTCCCCAAAGTTGGCTGGGCATGGGCAACGAGGATTCAGGGATTTGTGTATTTGGCACTGCTTGTTGTGACGGTTCTCCTTGTTCGTTCTCGACTGCCGCCAAAACCAAACCAGTCTATTCTGCCCGACTTCACGATATTTGGTCAGCTGAATTTCGCTCTCGTTACGATTGGTACTTTCATGATGGAATGGGGACTGTTCGCTCCGATCTCGTACGTCACGGCTTACTCACTGTCGTCCGGCGCCATGAGCACGACCTTTGCATATCAGATCATCGCGATTTTGAATGCTGGCTCCATTTTTGGACGATGGCTACCAGGTCTACTTGCGGACAAGATTGGACGCTTCAACGCCATGCTGATCACTTTGTTCCTATGCATGGTCTCGTCTCTCGCTCTCTGGCTGCCCGCAACAATTCTCTCAGCCACAGATGCACGCGAAGACAACGTGAACACCATCTTTGGCCTAACAATCACCTTTTGCGTCATCTTTGGTTTCGCATCAGGATCGAACATCAGTCTGACACCAGTGTGCGTGGGCATGCTATGCAAGACGGAGGAGTACGGTCGTTACTATGCTACTTGCTACTGCGTTGTAGCTATCGGTACTCTCACCGGCATTCCCATCGCTGGTGCTTTGATCGAAGCATGTGATGGAGCTTACTGGGGTGTTGCGCTGTTCACTGGGCTCTGCTATGTTCTGTCTATGGTGGCATACACAATCGTGCGCGTAAGAATGGTGGGATGGAAGCTCAGTGCGAAGTTTTGATTGAATGTTTGGGAAGCAGGCGCATGTTTACGGGCTCGCGAGGTGATGAAGGGTTGTTTCGAGGGGGAGTGTGAAGGATGATAAAAGATGATGGCGTGAAAGACAGCTGCGAGGAAAGCAGTTTAACTAGAGAGTCGATCGTTACGCAAATATAAACAGTCACCCATTCTTGCCTTCGCTGTACTGCACTCCTAAGCTCCCCACACGATTCGAATGATGGATTTGAAACTGTGCTTCTTTGACGAGATGACAGGCACGAACGCCTTGCACATCTCTCTTGTGTACTGTGATTGTGAAACATGCCCTACGAGACGAAGATCCACATACGCTGGAGTAAATTTAGGAAAAACGAATATTTGGATTTCTCCCTTTTGGCCAAACACAGCCACGTGCTAACAGAATCTAATCAAGAAAACGCTCCAGATACAACGACCGTGCAGTCCTGCATATTATTCCTCACGCTCTGAGGCACCCCCAACAAAGTCAGAGCCTGCCATGCACTAGCAAATGAAGCCCCCCACTGCGCAGGTCTCCCAACAAAACTTCGAAACTGGAACCCCACAGCTGTCCGGTTCTCGTTCCTCGCAAGGTTGATGTCGCTATCGAAGCGTCCCATACCCGAGACTGGAAAATATGTCTGGTTGTAGTAGAGTACATCCCACTCTCCAGGGGTCGTGTCTTGTGCAGTATTGGCCGGCATACCGAATCGTTGCTGGAAATTGGCGATCGAAGTGCTATGGGCACCGAGAAGAGCAGCCAGGTCTCGTGCAGTGAATCCCTTGTCGACGAAGAGCTGGAAGAGAGTATCATGATCAGAGCCGGGGCCGAAAGCTTGTGGAAGAAGTCCATCAGGAGCGGCTGTGGTTGTATCTGTACGTCCGACTAACATACGTCCTACACGCCCACCGGGACAAGCTAGAACACCTACGGATCCGGCAACTTGGATGAGATCTGCTGCGCTGATTTGATAGCCTGCAGCTTTGTATGTACTAAACTTGGCTGTGATGAAATTGTGATAGTCGTGAAGGCCTTCTGAATCGATGCGATTTATCTCCGCAGTGGAGAGCAGCAATGAGCCGTCGGCACCTCCTGCCGCAGGAGGATAAAAGGGCAGTTTGTTAGAGAATGTAGCTGAGTCGTGGAAAGCGTATCGGATCGCCGCTCGTGAAATGTTGTTGCAAAGTCCAGCATCGCGCATGCCTGAAGCCAAGTCCGAGACCACAGCTTTCCAGAATTCAGGGCAGACTGTTGAGGCAGGTGTAGTCGTGGTAGAAGTCGAGGAAGATGTAGTGGTTGTTCGTGTCGTGGTTGTGACAGTCGAGCTGGTTGTGGCAAGGGCGAAAGAGGTAGTAGTCGAGCTAGATGATGGAACAGTCGTTGATCGTGTCGTAGTTGTAGCGCTTGAGACGCCAGAAGAGGAAGCCGATGAGCTAGACGTAGAGACAGATGTCGCAGAAGACGCCAGAACGGATGTCGAAGTAGACCTTGAAGTCGCACTGCTAGTAGTGCTACTCGATGTGCCACCTCCAGCAGAGCAAGCACGTACGCTGCTGTCGGATCCTGCGTAGTAGACGTTCAATCGATCGGGGCCACCACAAGTTTGCCCTCTGTTGCCGGTACACTTCATGTTGCATGTTGACTGATCAGATGCGCAACTGCCGCCATTGTGCACGCTGTTCGCACAGTAACATTCTCGAGAGTATTCAATTCCAGCATAGGAGAAGCCCTCATTACCACAGGCGGTGAGACATCCTTCGATCGTCATGTTATTGTAGTCTCCTGGTACTCCCATACCAACCGGTAATGAGCGAGCGCCCGCGCTGTCGGTGTAGCAGCCAAGGGATGTCCAGCCAGAGGGAATTGCAGGCGGAGATGGCTCTGTTGTCGGGCCGCCGGTGACTTCGTATACATTCAAGCGATTTGACCCTCCACAGAGTTCGGTCGAGTTGCCGGCACAGGCCATATCGCATCCATCGTCGGCTTGCGTCGCCCCGTTCTGAAGTTTTGTGTCGCAGAAGCATTGATTGGCATATTCTAAGCCCGCTACTGGATATCCTGCACTTTTACATGCCTGTGTGCATGCGGCAACGGTCATGGCGTTTGCGCCGGCATCGATAAATTGCTGACTCCCGAGTGACCTTGAACCCACAGAGTCGGTGTAGCATCCGAGCGAGGACCACCCAGCGGGGCCGGGGTTTGTAGTGGGAGCAGTATAGGTGCTTCCGGTGGTATAGACACTCAGTCGGTTGCCATTGCCGCATGTCTGAGACGAATTGCCAACGCAACGCATCGAGCAGTCAGACTCAGGCGCTTGCGTTGCGCTGTTGAGTTGCTTATCGCAAAAGCATTCGTGCCTGTCAAGGAGGCAATCAGCGTTAGTTCGTGAGACTGTGTGCATTGACAGCGGCACTCTTACCCATATTCTACTCCAGCCCATCCATAGCCCAGGGAAGCACATGTTCCTGTGCAGGATTCGATAGTCTGGTCATTGTTGTCGGTATTGGTGAAGAATTTCAAAGTGCGCTTCGCAGGGTCATCAAGATAACAGCCTTGATAGGTCCATGTTTGTGCAAGACAACGCCTTAGGCCGAGAGCCAGAAATGCTAGACGTTCTGCACGCATAGTGTCAGCCTTACACAAACAAAGTCGATCGGACGAATGAAGTTGGCGGTACCTGGCTGACCTATATGATCGCGCTGCTTCACCGCGTCGGCAGCTCATGCCGGCGTGCTTGTGTCTATACCCTTCCGAGACACAATGTTGCGCCAACACGAAATGCTTGACAGAGGCGGTTCCCCTTTCGTGAACTTGGCTGCCATTTGTGGAGGTCTAGAAGAGAAGTGATTCGATCGGCACGCCGCTTAGAGTTCTGCACGTGGCCCATGGCTTTTCTAGCGGCGTCCTAATCTGCATCAACGGCTGCCACGTCTCGTTGAGGAAAAGCATATTGCAGGCACTAGAACTGTTTCGAGAGCTCAACTAGGAGTAAGGCTTTCGGCATTTCTTGTGCTGTGTCAGAGGTTCCGATCTCCTGTTTGATAGCTGATCCGTGGGCTGATCCGTGGGCTTATCAGAGCACTTCTCTGCAGATGGGCTTGAAGTCAGACTTGCTTGCGACAGTGTCAGTTAGCGAGGAGAATATTGCCAGTCTGCCTTCTATCGCAGTGCCTGTCTTTCGCAGTATTGCGCATGCTCTGGTCCCGCATGTGCATTGGCGCTCAATATGGAAGGAATGGTGCGCAAGCGAAAGCATATGCAGATACGATGGCTGCTGTTTTTGGCTCACTTGGGTGTAGTGTCGTACGTATCTCGAGCTTGGTATTGGAGATCATCTTCACAGCGTAATTACTTCTGCCGCTCGCTATTGATCGTGGCTTGGCTGCATGCATACAATAGACACGCGTCTGCGCAATAATCAATACCACTTTTTTGTTGTTCGTGAAAGAGCCCATCAGGATGCCGACACCGACACGCCGAAGTTCCGCTTCCTCGACACGGGCGAAGAGTTTGGGGGCGAGCGTTGGACGTGCATGACACGTTGTCTGGTACGCCCGACACAACGGCCGCCGCACGTGGCTCGGCATCGCAAACAAGCGCGGTCGAACGCTCCAGATGTCTGCCAGAGTTCAGCGGGCGTGGACAGAGGGTTATTATCGCGTATGGCCAGCACAAAGAGCCATCAGCTTCTTCTTGGGTCAATCGAGGAGACGTCGATTGCCCACAGTCCTGGCCGCCATTTGTTCATGCATATGACAAAGTGGCGCGCGGCGAATGCATGGTGGCATCGCCTAGGGCCATTCCACAAAGTATTGGAGCAAGCGAAGGCGTCGCTTGCGTGGCATCGACGGACGAGTCATGTACAAAGTTGTGCAGCAGGGAAAGAGACGAGCGTGGAGCAGAAGGAAGTTGTGAAAGTCGCCAAGGCCAGCGAGTGTGCCAACGCCTCATCATGCGAATGGGTTGGAACCTCATTTTATCAATATATTCATCATGCATTACAGCAAACGCTCGCTCTACTCATCTATGACCATCTACAGAAAGCAAAGTTCTCGCATCACAGCCATAATGCATACCGCTCAAAGAATGCTTCCGAGAACGCAAAACGATCGAAAACGAATCCGCTCACGCACGCCACGAACGACCAGAATGCCAGCAAAAGCGCCAAATCCAACAACGAAAGTGTCGGATCAAAACTCCACAGTAACGGTTCCGTCCCTAACGCCATGCTCTTCAGGAAATCGCGCCTGATCACCATCCTCGTCGCGATGAGTAACTTATACTAAGATAGCTCCATGCCCGTGTCATCATCTTCAATCGTTTCCTCGCCTTCTTCGCCATCGACGGTGGTACCACTAGTACTGCCCACTCGACCTCGTTTCCGGCCATTGCCCCATAGCATACCCATGCCGCTACCCAATCTCGCTCCGCCGAGGCCGCCCACGGCTTCAAGCTCGTCACCGCCAACGACCCGGCCTTCTGCATCGACGCCCTCGCAGAGCTCGAGCATTGCGGTACGTTTCAGACGTCTGAAGCCATCTGTTCTGACAATGCGGCCCCAATGTGTCATGCAGAAGCTCGCTGCTCTCCTCTTCAACCAGTCCTCTTGTGCCGTGCTCGCGCGATCGAAAATGAGTGCTCCATGCTGGACATCCAGGTCCCGCACCAGGCGATTCACGCACAAGTGCCGAAGGCGAGGCATGTCGTAGATATTACTCATGACTAGCATATTAGCAACGTCTTCAAGTGTTGGTCCGCCGACAGCCTGGCTTTCTGCGGGTGGTGAGGAGATGGAGTCGGTGTAGAGGTAGTACAGGAAAGCTTTCACGGCCGGATATGGCTCGGGAATGTGCATCCGCCGCGTGTGGAATTCGGACATTTGAGCATTGTATAGTCGCGCGAAGTGAGGCCATCGAGCGCTGAGAATCAGTCGATGCACGTGTATCGGAGGTGATGTATTGCTGCTGTCGGAGGATGAGCCTGCGATTGGTGATACTGGGTCCTCGTCCGATATTGATTCGAGGTCGTAAGTATCGTCCTTGAGCGCTGTGATGGTGAAGTCGGTGCCAGAACCACTCTCCGGAGGCATGTTGAATGTGCGCGCGAGATCTGCGCCAATGGCGGATAGATGTGAGGTCTCGTGGAAGTCCGATGTGGGAGGTTTCTGTTCATCGCGAGCTTCTTGGCTCATCTTGTTGCCGAGCAAGCCGAACTTACGAAGATCGATCGGTAGAACGTCAGACAGATATTCTTCCGTGTCTCCATTTGCGCCGTTAGTCGGTGCCTGCCTAGGCGAGCCTAGAAGCCAAGCATGAGTGCCGTCTTGATTTAAGCAACAGTAGTGCCATCTGTAGAGTGGACTGAACAGGTCTTTTCCATCGGCCAATTTCTGCCATCGCAATGTGTCTAGATCGAGTGCAGAAAGTGATGTCTCGAGAGGCATGTTGGTAGCAGGCGTGACAAAGTCGAGCATACATCCTGAACTGAAGACGTGAAAGTGAGTGCCCACATTCTGCATCGGCAAATTCGGCGAAGAAATGAACTTCAGGCTGCTGATCGAGCCTGGCGCGACCGGAGGCGCACGCTGGATGGGAGTCGCAGAGTTGGATTGAACCCCCGTGTTCGCTGCATAACCGTTGCCGCTGAAAGCAGGAGGGGGCGCAGAGTAGCTGGCGAAGCTTGTTCCTAGCATCCGGCTGTCTTCGGATCCCGCCATACCGTACAGTGGACCGCCCTCGAATGCGGGCGAGCCTCTGAAGTCGAGCCACCAGATCTCACTGGTACGTTCCATCTCCTCTCCCATACCACCGCTGACCCAGATCTTGCCGCCCCAAATCCAGCTCGCGTGATCGAAACGAGGCACAAACCTCCACGTCCTACTCCATGTCCATGTTTTCAGATCGAGATAGCAAATGTCGTCGAGGACGCCGTTGTCGCTACCACTCATACCACCACATATAAACAGCTTCTCGTCGTGGATGACTGCGGAATGCCGTGCTCTCCCCCTCGGTATAGGACCGTGCACATCGGGCTGAGTCCAGTGCGCTGTCTTGATGTCGAAAATAACAACATCAGATAAGTGCCTCCTGTGCTCGTTCTCGCCTCCATAAACGAGAAGCTTGTCGCCCTGCCATAAACATGAAGTGTGGCCCATTCGTACGCCGGGGATATCACCGTAGTTATCGACCAGACTCCATTGTCGTGCGGACAGGTTCAGTTTCAGCACGTGATTATACACTTCGTCTGTGTACTGATCGAAGCCGCCGAAGGCATATATGAGATCGTTTCCGACATATGTGACGGAGGCATTGACGAGACATGCGGGCCGCTGCCCAACGGTTGTAATGATTTTCGGCATGTACGGTTCTGCGGTTCGTCGGCGACTGTTTTTGTTGGGCGATCGACTCATGACATATGTATTATTCGACATAGATGAGATCCGTGAAGACGACATTCTCGCGCGCGAGAGTAGATGTTGCTAGCGGGGAGGCTGTGAGATGCGAAGGCTGCCGCGGGCGGCTGTTACAGCGAGCGCATAGTTCGGACTGCGCGACAGCAGTCGAGGGCTCGCGCGATGGATCGCAGGTAGTTGTCGCGGGCTGTGCAAGGCTGTGCAGAAATGTAGGATGCCTCGTTAGGTCTGGGAAAGTACTCTCTGTTTCTCGCTCTGAAGTCGTGCCTTCCCTAGCGTGCCAACCTAATTTGGGATGGCGCGGTTTGTGACGTCGCCAGCCGATCGTGCCTGCCCTTAGTTGCCCATGGCGACCGCTCTTGCCCCACAGGAGTAAACACTATAACCTCGTCCAACTTCCACCCTTCTCTTCTGCTCTGCACCACCACAAGTCACAATCAAACGCTCCATCAGCGCTCTCACGCATTCTCAAGGCTCTCAAGCCTTCACTCAATCCATCCACGGCATACTGCAAAATATTCGCGAACATACTAACGGAATCCTTCGCTGGAATTCCACCACAGCACTTCACATTCGACAGCGGATATGGCCACTGCATCAGTATTGACCCCCACCAAACAACGCCGGGATGGCATCTTCTCCACACGCCTCGCTGGTGGCCGCATGCCTCTCACTCCGTCTCCTCAGACGACACCCAAGACGGTGCACGTCGAGGCCGGCGAGAGCATCCACCACGGCAACGTGAACCTCACAGCCCGCTTCTCGCGAGCCCAGTCCAAGACCAATGTGCGCGACTCGCCCAAGTCCAACATTGCCCGTCGCCACCCACAGTCGCCTCGCAACCTCGACAACGTCACGAGCGACTTCACCCTCAATGGCACCGGCCCACGCGCCGCTTCGTCCGCCAAGAACACCCCGTCACGACCACGAAGCTCGCGTTCCGGCTCGACGCACCGCACACCCAAGAGAAGCCAGGGCAAGATCAACTACACCGCGGCTGACCGTTTCATCCCCAACCGGGATGCCAGCGACGCCATTTCCTCCTCCGGCGCCGCCGTCAAGCTCGACTCCGAGCGCACTCCTGGACGACGACCAAAGTCAAGCTCGTCTGATGGCTCGGCCACTCTCGCAGCTAGCGTGTCCAGTGCTTTCGACCTTGGCCGTCACTCTACTTCAGATACCTCTCTCTCTCTCGAGGGCCTCAACCTCAACGACAACGAGGATGATGAGGACGATGAGCCACGCACCAAGCAGAGCCCGAACACCGTTGCCTACCAGCAGTCCGTTGCTGAGGCTTGTGGTGTCAGCATGAAGCAACGCATTCTTGCTTTCCAGCCTGCTGCTCCAGAGTCCTCTCGCCCAATCGACCTCCGTTCTCAGTACAACCGCCCACTCAAGCCAGCTGCCGCCTCCGCATCTCAATTCCGCCGCCGCGTGCTTACTGCACCTGAGCGTGTCCTCGATGCCCCGGGCTTGGTCGACGACTACTACCTCAACCTCCTCGACTGGTCATCTGGCAACCAGGTCGCCATTGGCCTTGAGCGCAATGTCTATGTCTGGTCCGCCGAGTCCGGCTCCGTCTCCAGCCTGCTCGAGTGCCCAGCTGACACCTACATCTCCTCCGTCAAGTGGTCTGGCGATGGCGCCTACGTCGCCGCTGGTCTCGGTACCGGTGAGGTCCAGATCTGGGATGTCGAGGATGGCACTAAGCTCCGCTCCATGTACGGCCACGACACTCGCGTCGGCGTCATGGGCTGGAACAAGCACCTTCTCTCTACTGGTGCCCGCTCTGGTCTCGTCTTTAACCACGACGTCCGCATCGCCCAGCACAAGGTTGCAGAGCTCGTCTCCCACACCTCCGAGGTCTGCGGCCTTGAGTGGCGTCCAGACGGTGCTCAGCTGGCCACGGGCGGTAACGACAACCTCGTCTCCATCTGGGATGCTCGTCAGCTCACCGCACCAAAGTTCCAGAAGACCAACCACAAGGCCGCTGTCAAGGCTCTTGCTTGGTGCCCATGGCAATCCAACCTCCTTGCCACTGGTGGTGGCTCCCACGACCGCATGATCCACTTCTGGAACACCACATCCGGTGCCCGTACCAACAGCATCGACACTGGTAGCCAAGTCACCTCCCTCCGCTGGAGCATGGGTTACAAGGAGATCGTCTCATCTTCTGGTTTCCCTGACAACTCCCTCTCCATCTGGAGCTACCCAACTCTCGTCAAGAACATCGAGATCCCAGCACACGAGTCTCGTGTCCTGCACTCTGCCCTTTCCCCAGACGGACAGATGCTCGCCACTGCCGCTGCCGACGAGTCTCTCAAGTTCTGGAAGGTCTTCGAGAAGAAGGCTGGCTCTGGTAACCTTGCTGGCGGTGCTACTGGCACTGCAAAGGCTAGCTTGACCAAGGCTACCACCATCCGGTAAAGAATGACATGTATGTTCAGTCTGTTGTTATGACGCTTCGGCTGGCTCGGCGTTTGTCTTGACGCATGTTCATGATGCTGACGGCCGTTAAACACTTACATGGCATTGGGGATTGTTGGAAGTTGGCGCTTTTCGTACTTGACAATGTGGATGTTGGAACAGGAACGCTTCGGGCATGATTGAGAGAGCATTACACACTGCTACGTTTAATGGAGAATTCACACTCGCTTTTCTGACACCTTTGATGCAACACTCTTGCCCCATTTTGTTTAGCGCACGCACACCAGAGTTGATCGCCGAAGTGAAATGTTACTTATACATTACTTGGACTGATAGACACGTGCTCTAGTACCCGGTATCATATACATGTCCATCTCGTTGCTGTCATCGATACGCATGCTCGCCGGAAGCTGTCCAGATATCCAGCACTGGTCTAGTTCGACCTAACTTCGTGAACCCGGACCCTATCCGCATACCAGCAGAGAGCTCAGTGTTCTCTCAACCTCGGAACAAACACGCAGGCTCGACCTGCGACTCCTGCCCGATACTCGAGATCTACACAGCCAGCAGAAACCCACCCGCAGCCACCATCATCCCCATCATCGGCCCACTTGTGATCATCGCCGCACCACTTCCAGCACTCGTCTTACTCGCGGCTTCCTGACTCTTCCTGGAAGAATTCTCTGCCTGCTCTGAGGAAACACTCGCTGCTGCACTCGTGACTTTGTTTGAGTAACCCGAGTCTGTCAGGAAGACTGTCGCCGAGCAAGGTTGTGATGTCTGAACGACGAAGACATTAGCATCAGCTTCAAAACATCTGAAAGATTAAAAACTCACTGTACTCGTGACCGTCACGCCTACATCTGCCGACCCGCTGCAGAACGGAAAGCAAGGCGCGAAAGAAGGACCTGGGACTTCGAAAGTCGCTCCTACGCAACAGAAAGCGGCTGAATCGTTGTACATGTGGTCGGTACCGCCGCCGTAGATCGCTCCAGGACAACACCATTGCTTGCCGTTGTGAACATAGTTTAGTTCATTGGAAGGACATTGTTGGACTGATGTGTTGTTTGCTGTAGTCATGGTCTGGGCGATTGTCGTAGAAGTGAAGATTGAGAATAGAAGCAGCTGTAATAGTTGCATTGCGGGTCTTGTGCTTGTAGAAGTCATTGTGGCGATGGAGTCGGGAAACAGTTCGCTTCTGCTTTTTTTTTCGATCGATTGTTGACAGTGAAGTCGTGCGCAGGCAAGAGGGAACTTCTTTGCTCAAAACAATGATGAGCACGCAGAGTCTTCTTCCCGTCTGATCAATTGCAACGAGATAAAGTTGTGTCAAACACGCAAAGCGAACCGTTATCATACCCAAAACAATGTCGCGACAGCAGCGAGGCTTACTTTATACATCCCATGCCTGTCGATCCGCGGGAGACACCACAAATGACTGCAATCCCTTCATTACATCAACACTGTTCAATGCGCGGGAAGCACATTGCCCTTTGCACTCCATGATTCACTCTAGCTCATTGCCAATTGCCACAACGTCGAAAATGTCTTCGTGTTGCTATGTAATTGGAGCTCACGCCTGATCGACAAAATGTCCTGCAAGGCCTGATCTAACTAACCCAAACCAGTATGATGTATCTGAACAGAGATCAAGGCTGAAAGAAATGGGAGGCCTGATACTACCACTGACGCAGTGACAGGTCGCCTCATAAACGACTCTGTTGGCGATGCCGCAGATGCTGATGAAACACTCGATGATACTTCATTAGCACGTGCCGTCAAATCAAGGGTCGTTCTTGGGTGCCGCGGAGCGGAGCGGGTTCGAGAATCAAAGTTGGGCAGGGATGCCCCTTCCCATATCTTTTACATATACTGTCTAGAATTCTACCACCAACGCCGCGCTATGAAATCACGTTGAGTGACAAAAAGTAGTCCCAGAATAATCCGATTTTTATCCTGTCGAGATAGCCGCACACGGAGAAAAACATTGCCGCTGTGATGAACCAGCTGGCATGGTATCATTGAAAATCAAGATCTAGGGCGAAGCCCAACGCCGTGTCTCTGACAATCCCAGGTAAACACTTCCCAACCCTAGAACAGCCCATCAATCTCGCCAGTCTCGCCGTCGAGGTCGACGTTGAGGTAGCCAGGTGCGGTAGGCAGACCTGGGATTGTTTGGATGTCGGCTGCCAGGGCATAGAGATAGCCAGCACCGGCTGCCATGCGGACATCGCGGATCGGAACCTCGAAGCCAGTTGGCGCACCCTTGAGCGCGGGGTCATGCGAGATGGAGTACTGTGTCTTGGCGATACAGATTGGCAGGTTGCCGTAGCCTTGTCGTGTGTATGTGTCGACCTTCTTCTGGGCGATCTCGGAGAACGAGACAGAATCAGCGCCGTACATGTTCTTGGCGATGGCTTCGATGCGCTCTCGCACAGAACCTCCATCGGTCTGGTACAGAAGCTGGAACTTCTCGGGCTCGCTCTGCTCGGCGGCCTTGATGACGCCGTTTGCGAGGTCGACAGCTCCCTTGCCACCTTCGGCCCAGTGATTTGCGACAATGGCATCTTCGGCTCCAGCCTTGATGGCCTCCTCACGGATGACCTGAGCTTCAGCGTCGGTGTCAGTCTCGAACTTGTTGATGGCAACGACAACCTTGACGCCGTACGCCTTCGCATTCTGAATGTGCTTGGCGAGGTTGGTGCAACCCTTGCGAAGGATCTCGACATTCTCAGTGCGGTAGACTTCGTCAAGCTGTGCGCCAGCCTTGATCTCCGGGCCACCTCCGTGCACCTTGAGCGCGCGCACAGTGGCCACAATAACGACGACATCTGGAACAAGCCCTGATGCGCGGCACTTGATGTTCATGAAGCGCTCGCCACCCATGGTGAAGTCGAAGCCGGCTTCGGTGACAACGAAACCAACCTTGTCATTGTGTTCAGCAGCCTCATCGGGCTCAGTGCCGGCAAGCTTGAGAGCAATACGGTCAGCGATGATGGAGCTGTTGCCAATGGAAATGTTGGCAAATGGTCCAGCGTGCACAAACACTGGTGTTCCTTCCAATGTCTGCATCAAGTTGGGCTTCACGGCATCCTTCATCAGCACAGCAAGAGCACCGCTGACGCCGATGTCGTCAGCAGTGATTGGGTCGCCAGCCTTTGATGATGCGACGACCATGCGACCAAGGCGCTCACGCAGATCGGCGAGGTCAGTCGACAGAGCGAGGACAGCCATACACTCTGACGCGACAGAAATGTCAAAACCAGTCTCGCGAGGCTGTCCCTTGCTCTCTGTTGGTGCCTGGCCAATTGTGATGCCACGGAGGTGACGATCATTCACATCCAGGACACGTCTCCAGGTGATCGTCTCTGGGTCAAAGTCGAGCCTAGCAAAGCGAGTGACCTCCTCGTCGGTAAGGTCATCTGGGTTTGTCTTGTTAATGCCGAGCTTCTCCAGGCGCTTGTACATGATTGGGACAAACTCTCGCTTGCCCTTCTTCTTTGGCACCAAGCGGCTGTAGAGTGCCTTGTCACTTTGCGTAGCCTCGTGGAACATGCGAGTATCGATAGCGGCGGCAAGCAAGTTGTTTGCAGCTGTGATAGCGTGAATGTCTCCAGTCAAATGCAAGTTGAACTCGTCCATAGGAATGACCTGACTGTAGCCACCTCCAGCAGCACCACCTTTGATACCGAAGGTAGGACCCTGCGAAGGTTGACGAACGTTGGCGAATGCTATCCGGCCAAGCTGTCCAGCCAGCGCTTGTGTGAGGCCAATTGTGGTCGTGCTCTTGCCCTCACCGAGTGGTGTTGGGGTGATGCCGGCAACGAGAATATAGCGTCCATTCTTGCGGTGTTCCAGACGCTTCAGCACGTCCAAAGAAATTTTGGCCTTGTAGTGGCCATATGGCTCGAGCTCGTGCGGTGCAACACCGATCTCTGAGGCAACCTTGTTGATGAGCTTCGGATGCTGCGCTCTCGAGACAGCAATATCTGAAGGTACAGGTTGCTGAAGCTTGAGTGGCAGAGGCGCAATCTTGCGTGACTTTTGCCTGTCAAAGGAGACATCAGCAGCATCGACCACGTTTGACAGCAGCATGGCAATGGTCATTGGTCCCACACCACCGGGCACTGGGGTGATCTGGCTCGCGACCTCGACTGCGGCGTCATAGTCGACATCTCCGACCAAGCGTTGGCCTGATTTCTTGGTGTCGTCCGGGATGGAGTTGGTGCCGACATCAATGACAACTGCGCCTGGCTTGAGCCAGTCGCCTTTGACGAAGTGTGGCTTGCCAATGGCAGCAACCACAATATCTCCTTGCTTGACGACCTCCTTGAGGTTGGCGGTCTTGGAGTGGCACACAGTCACCGTAGCGTCGGCGTTCCTGAGCAGATAGCTGACCGGTGCACCCACGATATCCGATCGTCCAATGACGACTGCATTCTTGCCTCGCACGTCCACTCCGCTCTCTTTCAGAAGCACCATGACACCCTTGGGTGTGCATGGCACGAACAATGGCTTGCCTCCCTTCTTGGCAAGCTCTCCAATGTTCAATGCTCCAAAACCGTCGACGTCCTTCTCGTCGGCGACGGACGAGGTGATCTCGTATTCATTGATGTGCTTGGGCAATGGCAGTTGCACCAAGATGCCGTGCACTGACGCATCATTGTTGTATTGTTCAATCTTCTCCAGCAACTCGTAGTGAGAAATGCTCTCATCGTACTTGTCAATCTTGCATGCAATGTTGGCTTCTTCAGAAGCCTTGAGCTTCATGCGCACATAGGTGGAGCTGTCCTCGCGGTCGCCAACCTGGATGATGACGAGGCTGGGCTCGTAGCGAGGGTTCTTCGCCTGCTTCTGCGCAATGTCGCTGGAGATGCGTTCGCGAATGGATTGGGCAATAATTTTGCCATCGATTTTGGTGGCCGTCATGTTTGCGGGTGTTCGACTGAATGAGCGGACGCCTGTTGGCTCATATGGTGCGCTTCTTATACTGCGTGGCCGGAAGCTGGACTGCAACGCCTGGCACGACAACACACGGTGACTCGACCAGCGTCTGGTGAGGAGAGGCGGTGGGATTCGGAATTCAAAATTGACAGCTTCTTTAACGACCCCGCGTCGCCTGTTTCCCCCGAAGGGTCGGCGAACAAAGATCCGCATCGTGTGCTCGCCAGGTGAAGCTTGCGCGAAAAGGGAGCAGGGCAAGTGCGATGCTCACTAGGACTCCCAATGCGCGGAAACAACCCTCCAGAGACGCGTCGCTGTTGAAGCCACTTGACATCAGACCACCGGGACAGACCAGACCAGGAAAATATGTCTCAAAATTGGCAAGAAAACATCACACACCGTTTCGCTCTCCTTTTGGCTCCGGCCCGCGCATAGCCGCCGGCCCCATCAATGCCTTCCATCAAACATTGATTCAGCGACTGCCCCGCGTTCGTGCGTTTTGAGTCAGAAGCGGAAGCGGCGACCGCGAAGTCTTGGCATAGGGAAATCATCAAGTCTGGCGTGGCCATCCACCTTTCGCGCCACAAACCGCCAACATGAGACCCATTCTGCTGCAAGGTCACGAGCGTGAGTATCTGGATGCGCTCACATACTGCACTTAGGCTGACTAAATCCGCAGGTGCGCTCACCCAGGTCAAATACTCGAAAGAAGGCGATCTCATCTTTTCCGTCTCCAAAGATCACGTTGTGTGCGCGTGGTACAGCACCAACGGCGAGCGCTTCGGTGTCTACAAAGGGCATCAGGGTGCCCTCTGGACTGTCGATGTCGACCCAACAACCACACTCCTCGCTTCTGGAGGCGCAGACAATACGATTCGATTATGGGAGGTGCGAACGGGTAGACTGCTGAAGACGTGGGAATTCGGAACGGCCATCAAGCGCGTGGAGTTCAACGAGGATGGCACACAATTGCTGGGAGTGACGGAGAAGCGACAAGGACAACTGAGCTCGATTGTCGTATACGACATCAACCAGGACCCGGAGGGCGAGCAGGTCAACGAGTACAGCATGCGCATTGTTGTCGATGACATTCCCAAGGTCACCGTGGCCGGTTTCTCCTACTTGACCAAGTTTATCATCGCTGGCCACGAGGACGGCAGCGTGACACAATACGACGCCAAAGACGGCTCCGAGCTGAGCCACACCTTCCCACACGAAGAGAACTCGCTGGTCACGGATCTGCAGTGGAGCTCGGACCGCACATACTTCATCACCTCGTCCAAGGACAAGACCGCGAAACTTATCGATGCGAAGACACTCGATGTCCTCAAGACATACGTCGCCGATACGCCTCTGAACAGCGCCGCCATGACACCCGAGCCGACGAACTATGTCATTCTAGGAGGTGGTCAAGCAGCCATGGATGTCACAACCACTTCCGCACGACAAGGAAAGTTCGAGGCGCGGTTCTACCACAAGATTTTCGAAGAGGAGGTTGGGAGAGTGAGAGGCCACTTCGGTCCTCTCAACTACGTTGCTGTGGACCCAACTGGAAAGTCATACTGCAGTGGTGGTGAGGATGGATACGTGCGTGTTCATCACTTCGACCCGCCGTTCTTTGAGTTCAAGTTTGAGGTTGAGCGGGAGCTCGAGCGTGAGGGAAGGATTTGAATGGCATGTTCATGAGTAAACGAAGCTAGATGGCGCCGGAAAATGGCATAGCAAGGCGTTGTGGCGTAAGGCACGTCCGGCCAGGTCAGGATCATGAAGCAAAAGAGTATGTGCGTCTGCGGTGCAGATAGAGCGAATGATATGAGCGACTGGCTATCGTGCCACGATGCCTTCATCGGACTTCCACGAAGTTGCTCGAGTAGACGTGCTCCCAGACGCGAGCGCCTCCCAAGCATTCACTTGGAAAAGCACGCTAAAGAACTCTTGGGCAGGAGCGACGGAAGCACGCGTAAAAAAGTTGATTCTCATCATGGCGATGACCTGTTGAGGCCTGCCACTCATATGTACTCCATTCGAATGTTCAAGACAGTTTGATGATGATCCCTCACATGCTCCCATCATATCAATGCCACTCTGACCCAAGTCTCAAATCTCCTTCTTCGCCCCCAAGACCTGCTGCCCATCCCATCCCGCAGCAGAAGACTTCCATTCCTTCGTGTCGCCTAACACGATCCAGTCCGTCCAGTCCTCTCCCCAATAGAACCGCCACTTCAGCTCACCCTCCGTCCCTAGGCCGAACACCGCCAACGTCCTTTCGCTCCAGCTCGCGACTTGCGGCTGTCCACTGAATTGACCTCCACCTAACTTCCACCATTTTTGTGCTCCGGGCTGCCAATCAGAACCACTCCAGATCTTATAATCGAAATCCATTGCCTCTTTCTCTGCGAAGCCAACGATATCAACCCACGAGGCAGATCGCCGAAGGACTTTTGGTGCAGAGGCATCAAATGTTCCACCAAGGTTCTGCCAGGCATTATAAAATCCAGGTCCCCATGATGTGTAGTAGAGGGCGCTGTCATTCCTGCCTATAGCGTAGATCGATAGTAAGCCTACGCCGCCCGAGGTCGCGGTGAGTTGAGCGTGGGGCCTAAAATTGTGAGATTGAGGGTTGGGCAGTTTCTCCCATTGCTCGAAATAGCGATCTCCTACCCAGGCTTGATGTAAGACTATACCGTCCTCAGTAGTTCCAAAGATATCGAAACGGTTGATGCCCCAGCTTGTTATTGCAGGTGGAGATGTGAAGCTTTGATCAGGCCAGAGATTTTCCCACACAGACCATGAGTGTCCGTCGAAGTACTTGTGGAGGTATGTGCCGTTCGAGTCGTGCCCAACAAGGTCTATGCGGCTTGGTCCCCAAGACGTAACGGAGAGTTTGGATCGAAAGGCGATTGCGCTTTCTTCTTCTTCATTCCATAGAGGGGCCCATTTTTTCGGCTCCCATTGTGAACCACTCCTTGTGTCAGACGTTAGACTGAGGCTATGCCAATATGGTTCTGGGACGGCTGCTTACCACCAGCGATGATATGGCTTGCCATCTTCTGCAACGACGAATAGATCAATCCGGTTATCCCCCCAAGATACTGCGACTGGTGTTGATTTCTCAGCGCTTAGCGTGGCATCAGGCTTGCTCAGGCTCTCGAAGACTGCAGGTTCCCAACCGTGCTCGTTGTGGAATTTGTGCCAGACATGCTTTGCATCAGCAGTAAGCCCAAAGAGGTCAATTCGTTCTTTAATACCGGGCCAGACAGTCAGCGCAATTGGATCAGAGACCCAAGCAGCGACGATGGCCGCGCTTGCGATTGCGAGGAACAAGAAACGAAGCATGCTTGCTTTGAGGTTCTGCTTTCTGCATCGACTTTCACAACGTCTTTTATGCTTCCCTCAAGCAGGCTTGGATGGACTGGGTTTGGTACGGTGTGGATGGCCCAGCCAGGCATCGGAAGCACCGAGCTCGTGCTGCATGCTGTCGAAGGCACCTTTTGCATGTGATCAAAGCATTCTCCGACGAAGTCCGGATGCCGTTTTCTTGAGATCGACCTGTTCTGAGGCTTCTTGAGGCATTGCACTGCGTGTGTCGCTGGGTGCCCTGGTAGCACAACAGGAAAGTTGGTCTGCCATGCAGAGGCAGTACGTAATGCTTCATGATTGTTCTCGATTCACGCGAGGAGAAGTGTCTTTTGGCGTCCCACGAAGATTGCATCGGATCAAGGGAGCACCTAGGCTAGTAAGTAAAAGCTTGTAATTTTCCTTTGCCTGGAGACTTTAGATCATCAATGGCAACCACTTACGGAGAGGTAGTCTCAGCCGGCTGGACGTCTGCATGAGTGGGAGTGGATCTGCACGAGCTGCAATCGTATCGGATTCGCGTTCTCCTCATCCGTGACTGGAGCGGGGAACGCTGTGCTACTTCAAGCACCAACATCCCATGCATGTCGAAGAACGCCTTCGAGCTCAACCAATATCTGCACACAGAGTCTGCTTAATATCGATCGTGTCACCATGGCGACCACACAAGTTGTGCAATCAGCCGGCATCTACCACGGCCTGCCCACATACTCGGCAGACGTCCAAGGACTTACTGCAATCGTCACCGGCGCCAACGGCATTAGCGGCTATCATATGGTCTAGCATATCTCTCGAATGGAAGAGCTCAGTTTTGACTAACACCTAGAATTAGGTTAGAGCTTTATGCTCGGCTCCCGAGCGCTGGTCCAAGATATATTGCCTCTCGCGACGGCCACCACCGGCGTATTTCTACGAGGGACTAGAAGGCGGCGAGGATCGTGTAGAACATGTAGAGGTCGATTTTTTGACAGAGCCAAAGAGCATCGCTGAAGGATTGAAGAAGATTAAGAAAATGTAAGCTTTGTGGTGGTGTCGACCGTCCATACTAACACAATGGTCAGTGACCATGTCTTCTTCTTCTCGTACGCGCAATCCAAACAGAAGGGAGAAGTCCTGGGGATGTGGTCGGATGCCGATGCGCTGGCCGATATCAATACAACATTGATCAGCAACTTCATAGAAGGTCTGAAGCTGGCCGGCCTGACTCCCAAGCGATTCGTGCTGCAGACGGGAGCCAAAGTGAGTTGCTTTCGTCATCAACTGTGCTCAGTTGTGCTGATTTCTGTGTTCTAGCACTACGGCTTCCACATAGGCCCGGCGACAACACCCTCGTTTGAGACAGATCCCAGAGTGACGCTTGAAAGTAACTTTTATTATCCTCAGGAGGATGCACTGGATCGATACGCGACAGAAGCCGGCCTGGGATGGAATGTCTTTCGTCCATCGTATATCATTGGTGCTGTGAGGGAGAATCAATTAAACTACCTTGTGGGCTTCATAGTTTACGGCGCGGTGACTGCCCATCTGAAGCAGACACTTCGCTTTCCAGCAGACTATGCGGCATTCGACAAAGAATTTGTGGCCTCTTCTGCGATGCTCAACGCATATATGATGGAATGGTCTGTTCTCACACCAGAAGCAAAGAATCAGGCGTTTAATGTGCAAGACGGGTAGGTCCGGTAAGGACGAGCGTACTGAGCATTCTGACATTCGTCGCTAGCTTGCCTTTCACGTGGAGTCGCTTTTGGCCGTATCTGGCATCTTGGTATGGCGTGCCTTGGGCGCCTCCAGAAATGGACGCTTCAAAGTATCAGACATTCACGTCTAGGAGTGTCCAGACACCGCGCGGGTACGCATTCTCCATGGAGACTTGTTCTGAGGCGAATCGTAGTCCGACCTGCTGACTTTACCAGCTTCGGCCCCCAAGGGGTGACTCGTTGCACTTTTAGTCTGCTCGAGTGGTCAAAGCAACCAGAAGTGGAGTCGGCTTGGGAACAGCTAAAACAGCAACACAACCTGGTCCTCGACCCATTTCAAGATCGTGAGCAGATTTTCGGCATCACGGACAGCGCTGTCATTGGGGGCTGGCCGCTGTCACTCAGCATGCGCAGGGCCAGGAAAATGGGGTTCCTGGGTACAGTCGATTCTTATGAGAGCATGTTCCACACGCTGCAAGAGTTTGTGAGGTTGAAGATGAGCCCGCCGCTTGCCGTTGCTGAGTATGTAGAAGAGCTGCCTCCAGCGCCCGGTTTGTAGCATCGGCTGGGACCAATGGATCTTGTAACTTTCTCAATGCATGATGCATTAATTGATGTCTGAGAGGCCCTCTATGTACTTGGAAGAAGTATGGCTCTGCCAAGACGATACGTGGCACTGGCCTTTAGAATGTCATCTCCAAGAGCATGAAGCATCAAGCACTCGTTGAGCAACGAAGCAGCAAGCGAGTTCTTCCATGAGTCTCTCAACGCGGTAGGCTCATGCCACTTGACGAAGAACAGGCGATACTGCAGTGCATTAGATCCTGGTCGGCGACTGACCGGTGGTTTGGCAAGCTCGACGCTCCGATCAACAGCGTGGTATTCCGGCCGCCCTTGTCAGATGTCTTCATTGACCACTGAATACACAGCTAGAAGAGTGTGCATGCGGAAGCCCAGGCAAGGCCGCCTCACCTCACAAGCAACAGCACAAGCGATGGAAGGCAACCCCAATCGGGAAATGCGACGTCTGTCTTCACTACGGAAGCACCGACTGTGCTCTTTGACTGGCAGCCGCTTCCCTTGCGCGAGCTACGCCCATATCAGGCCACGCAACGTCAACAGTGCAGACGGTGTTGACGTGGCACCTGCTGTTTCCGCAGCGTCACGAACGACACACGCATCAGTCCCTCATATTTGCAATTGACAAGTGCTCGCTATGAACACGGCAGGAAAGACTACGCGCCGATCAATCGCTTGCATCTCACCCGCTTCTCGGCAGTTGGACATATTGCTTCACAACGGAATGGCGAACAAACGACTGGAATTGGAGTGCACGGTTGGCAGCCAAACGATCTAGCGGATCCACACGCCTTGCTGTTGAAAATTCTACGTCTTCGGATCCTGGAAAGAACGCATCATTGTTGTACCGGGTTCAAAGGGTCATTCTCCGCAAGTGCCTGTGTGCCTACGCAGCTCCTTGCAAGTATCATGCACGAACATGTTGACGGTCGTTCTTGACCTCGTCACGCTTCTCGGCAATATGGCTTATGCACTGACAGCGCTCCAAGCGACGGCGTCAGTGGCCATCAACTCGTACCGCCTATGGCCATCATCATCGTCATGCACAGAGGCGATGTTGGACTACCTAGAACCACATTTCTCGTCACCCAAGAGCTGCTTTGAAAACTGGCAAGGCTTACAACGCTGCGGCGAGGTATAAGAAGTATGCAGTCTTGCCCATAAGTTTTCACTTCTCATCCTCACAGTACTGCTCCAACTTACAACAATCCCAGCCTCTCCTCACTCAATCATGCAGTACCAAATCCTTGCCTTCGCTGCTCTGGCAGCTGCCCTCCCACAAGGCAACACCGACGGTACATTGAGTTCCAAGCGCTTTGGTCGTATGGCACAACCGCTGACAAGGTCTAGGTGACCAACCCCTCACTCCTCCAGTAGCTGGCTCCGTCGATGTCTGCACTGGTGGCTACACTGCTCAATGCTGCGCAACCAACGTCTTGGGCCTTGCCAGCCTTGAGTGCTCCCAAGGTACTTTGAAGCCACCATGGTGCACACAGGAACAATCTAACATAGCTGTAGTGCCGGATGTCATCACCTCGAGGGCTAACTTCCAAGCCCAATGCGCCGACCAAGGCCTTTCAGACAATTGCTGTCTGATTCCTATCGTAAGAGCAGCGACGACGACTCAATAGATGTCGTGCTAACACTGTGACAGCTCGGCCAGGGTCTGATCTGCCAGTCGCCTCAGGGCAACTAGGAGATGACCATTATATCAGATATCACCACACAAGCTATGATAAGATGCAATAGAACATAATCATATACCCACACTCCCAAAATCCGTGGAGCTGATCATATGGGGTCCCTCAAAAACATTCGCATTGCAAGGACTGACCCTATCCCGGTTCAGTGAGGATCCTATTTGAATTTGCATGACAGTACATGTACCGCAGTGCAAGTCGGTCTCTCTGGCCGTGCGAGCCCATTTACGTTGTTGTATCCCAACCTTCCGTTGCATAGCATGTTTTCCACAGCCGGAGTGATTGGTAGTCGACATCACGGACCAGCCAACTCATCTGACACCCTCTTTGCTCTGTGTTCGATATCTTTCACTCTCAGCGGCTCCTCTGATCAAACAACCGCGCGGGCTTTTGGCTGTGACGTAATCGTCACCTCGTATACGCTATACGATGCCCTTTCCCAATGGCTACATCTAGCAAGATCCATTGTAGATTGACATATGCTTCCACAGATTCAATCACATTTGTTGTAACGATCTATCTGCACCACTTTTGATATTTCAGCGGGCTACAAAAATGACCACTTTGCTATATTCCCTTCTCACTCTAATTCTTAGCCTGGCCGCATACCTTATACTAACGAAACCGAAACCAAAGGCTGACTGCCAAATCTTGACACTCCGATCTCCCAACCAGATCACATCCGTGGACATTTGGTCACTAGTCCTTCAAGCTATTCTCAAGCACCTACCAGGATACAGTCCGGCACTCATAGCAGGCTCAAACGAAGACCAGACTTTCCAGCTCCCAGCAGTGAGAACAGAAGGCCTACTACGCATCAGCGAAGAGAACATTGCAAGCTTCATCAGGGCCGTTAATCCCCAGCCCCAAGAGCCAACTTCGGAAGCACACGGAGGCACGATCAATCCATTCTTCCTACCAGCTCAAACAGTACCTCTCATCATCACGATTCTCGCCAATCGAAGTTGCCCTATAAGGCCTCTAGGTGCCGTCAACACCCGCAACGTCTTCCACTTCCTCAACCCGGCTCTTTGCAGGAATGCCACAGCACTGAAAGCTGCCGCAGCGGCCGGAGAGCTTAGCTATGGTGCCAGATTCGGCGGAGAGGCAAGGTCTGGACGGAGAAGGAAGCGCGGCGTGGAGTTCTGCGTGGCCATTGAAGTCTTCACGTCGACTGAAGTTATCCTGAGGCAGGAATGCTATTTCTTGCAGTTCTTGCCTAAGAATGTTCTGCCGAAGTGGGGTGGGCAAGAGCAACCGAAACCGGAAGCAGTTACGGATCAAAATGATGCGATCAACAGCAAGATGTCATTGTCTTCAGAGGATCCTATACGATGGGCAGCTACCTCAAAAGACTATAATCCGATCCATGTTTCGAGAATTGGTGCGAAACTCTTTGGCTTCCAAAATGTCATTGCACATGGCAATCATGTTGGAGCACTTGCAGTTCAAAATCTTTGGGCAGACGCGAACTCCTCGTCCAGCGAAGCATATCGTATCTGCTGGCAGTCAGACAGGCCTTTCAGCATCGAGCTCGATTTTACAAGACCGTTTATCTTGCCCGCCACAGCAGACATACAATGGCAGACACAGCGTGACGGAAGTGAGCAGCCGAGAGTCGGGCTTAAAGTCACGAGAGGAGACAAGTTGTGTCTGGAAGGCAGTGTTGTCAGTAAATAAGAAATTCCGAATCCGCAAGAGCAAGAGAAACGAAGTACAATACAAGGTCAACCAACAAGACTTTGGCTTCTCACAATCTATTACGAGCTATTCTGCTTCCTGCGATGACAAGTCCCTCCGTTGCACAAATTCAAGCACGCTACACGAGCTATCCTGCCGTGTCATTGCAATTCCTCCAGTAACAAACACCTGTCTGCCAATTACGGCCCTTACTCAAAATCAGCTGGCTGCAAAGTCTTGTTCGCCAGCATTTGCCCAACATGCGTCCGGCTGATATCCTCGCCGTTTCGACGCAACTTCGACATAACGAGCTTAAAGAACTGCACGGGATTGACCTTGATGGAGCTGTCCGGTCGACCCACTTTACCGTCTTCGTTCTCCTCCACGAAGCCATCGGCTGAGACTTTCCATCCCTTCTGAATGCCGCCTGTCGCTAAGCCAAGGAAGCGGCCTGTGGCAAGGTATTGCTCGTACGAGCTGAAATAGAGCTGACCCGCGAAGAGGTTGAGTTGAACGATGTAGTCTTCGTGGATCGTCAGGTTTAGCTGAGCTTGGGAGATGGTGTACAGATCTAGACCATCAAGCGGCGCGTAAGCCATGTTGGTTCTCGGACGGTACAAGTGCAGGGCGACGAACGGCGAGAGGAGGACTTCATTCATCAATTCTGCAGCCTCGAATGGGCTGATGACAATCATGTGGTCGATGTGGTACTGGAATCTCGTCTTGCGCCCCGTCAGAACCCACTGGACCGAACGAAGGAAAGAGTCCGAGAGTGAGCCTTTACCAGGAGCGATGACCGTCTTGGCGAAATCTTGAGAGGCCAGAAGTAGTTGCGGACGTAGATGCGAAACGTCGTACTCCTTGCTCGCGGTGGTGTTGAGCAGGGATTGGAAGACCGGCATTGGGGCATCGGCCGAGATGGTGCCCAGAATACCAGTGTCCATGAACTTGCGCCAGCCTTTCCAAAGAATGTGGGTCGCGGCTTTTGCAGGCGCAGGCTTTTCAATCACGCGCTCCGCGTCGACATCTGCCTCCTTAGACACTTCTCTCTCTTGCTCCTCAGTGAGCTTGCGGCCAGTCCACTCGAGTAAGCCGAACAGCTGGCAGCGGTCGATAATCGCCTGGGAACGGCTAATTCCCTCAGCAGACTTGAGTTTTGCATCCTTGGCCAGTCTGGAAAGCGGCGTGTCAGAGGTCATTTTGGGCTCATAGCGAGACTCGATGTTGCGGCCTTCGGGCTCCAGAAACTTCTGAGCTGTAGTCTTGGTCAAAGAGCGCTTTCCGTTCTCCTTCGTCTTCTCCCATAGCTCTTCTTGCCTGTTGAAGCGGTCGTTCTGGGCTGCCCATAGACTCATGTTGTGCCTCATTTCTCCATAAGTCTGTGCAATGGACCACCGTAAGACATCCGGCACGGTGATGCGATCCTCGATCGAGAGTCTGGATATGCTGCGGATTTGCCTCTCGATTTCCTGAGAAACGACGAATACCACGGTCTGACCCTTGCCTAGCTTGCGCATTCTCATGCACGCTTGAAGTAGGCGGTCTTTCACCAGTCCGCTGCCCAAAGTGCACGCTGCCCTGTACTTTGGCGGTAGCTTCAAGTCAATTCCGCGGGTGTGGGCCTCATCGAGGTACACAATACAACGATCCATGCGTGCTGCATACGAGGACGTCTGAAGAAGCTCAAAACGACCACTACGGTCGACAACGCATAGTTCGTCGTTGTCGTTGCAGTAAATGGCGGCTTCCTTCTTTGTCGCATCAGATCGAGCGAGCCAAGTCTTCGCAACGCCTAGGTTGTCGAGCTCCAAGATCTGCGCTCCCGGATCGAGCAGAACGTCAATAGGTGGGCTCAGCTGCATGACCATGTCAAGGAGCTGCTCGGCATCAGTCGATGAGGCATCTCTCGCCGGCGCCATGCTTGTCACTGAGTTCGCCGGTTGTAACAAGTAGCCCAAAACAAGTGCATCGGTGTGCCTCTGCGCAGGCAAGTCTAGTTGCTCGACATCCAGAGGAAGAACGATTTTGGCATCTTGGGTTCCAGAGAAGCCTCGTGTCGGCAAGAGCTTCTTTCTGCCTAGGTCACACCCAGAAGAGGAAAGCTTGAACGGATATTCCTTGACATCTTTGGGGAAGACACTGTGCGATAAGAACCAGTCCACGGCAGCCTTGGCTTGTCTCAGAAAAGGAAAGATTTTGACTTTGCAAGTCGTTTCGTCCCGAAGGTTGATGCTGTTGATGTTGCGGAATTCCGAGGGCATGTCCGTCTTTCGAACCCACAAGTGGAAGTCCTGCTCTGCTTGATCGGAAGTCATTAACTGACTGAGTAAGGCGAATAGGTCTTCGTCTTCCATGCCGCCGTAATAATACGAAAGCGATGTCAGAAGCAATTGGACGTCTGGGTGGCTGAACTCCGAGCGCGGAGTAGGATTGTCCTTCGCCCTGTACGGCACAGCCAATCTCATTCGCGGTACACGTGAGGCCAGTCCGTAATGCACACGCCAGCGCTTCGTGCGGAGGACAAAGTCCAGGATGCCGCCGGCAAGCAGGCCACGCACAAGCAGGAGTGCTGTCTTGTACTCTTTACTCCAGAACGAACTGCGGTGGACCGCCTCCACCGCCGAAGGACTGGGATCCTCAGAGCCAATAAACGACCTAATGGCCGCTCGCGTGTAGGTATCAGCTGCCGCGGACAGCTCGTGCAGACCATTCTCACAAATGTCATCGGCGAGGCACTGTACCAGCTGCTCTCCAGCCGCCTCATCAAGCAGTCGAGTTCGCGGAAAGCTCCCCGCAACGCCCCTAACGCATTCGATGGCCCCAGAGCGCGTATCGCCGATGGTGACCGCGTGTTTCTGCACGAGACCCAATATCTGGTGAATGATGCTCCATCTGTCCGATGAGCCCTCGATTGGACCAGGTAATCCCATGGTATAGACCAACTCAAACTTCACGCTCAGATTCTCATCGCTCTCATCAATGATGTCCCGGGATTTTTGATCGAAGAATTCTTGCGTGCGCAGGAAAGTTTCTCCAGCGTCCTCGTTACCTGCAATGTAGTTCTCGGTGGAAGTAAGCTTGAACGAGAGCAGATGTTCTGGCTGCACTAGCAACACTCCACCTTCCCTCATACATTCTTGGCAAAGCTCAAACACCGCCTGAGCACCTGCCTTGCGTAGTTTGAGAGCGCGAGAATAGGGCAAGTAGTAGATGCGGCGACCTATAATCCCGCCTAGTTTCGAGATGAGCACTTGCGCCATTTGCTTGCTTTGAGCTTTGCCCACTATGACTCTGACAAGCTGCTCTCCATTCGCAAGGGCGGCGGCAACCATAGGAGAGATGACAGAGGATTTACCGTCACCCATAACGAGCTGGAGAACTTGATTGCCTCCAGACGTCTTACGAACTTCCGAGGCGATAGACTCTTGGACCTCGCGGATCAAGATCGAGCCCTCGATCTCCAGCAACAATGTTTCAGGGAACGATCTCGGGTCCCAGTTCGTATGGCCAACGTTCGTCAGCTCTCGCCTCAGGTCGTCTTCGTTTTCGGTCACCAAAGCATCGAGCATGCGTTCAGCACGCTGTACAGCGGTGATAGCCAGTCCATACTGGATTATTGCTTCTCGCCACCCTGGCATGCGCTCCAGCATGTGCCAATGATCGCGACTCAGCTGCTCCAAGAATAATGAAGGCGAGATTCGTGGCCATTGAAGACCCACACAGTCGCCAGACAATCTCTCAAGCTGGACCTTGGCAGTACGCTTCAAGGCCTCGTAAATGGCTGCCAAATGTGTGTTGCATTTGCGGAGGTGATCATTGAGTACAGTCCTCCCAGGCAGGCTGAAATTGGTGGATTCGCGCTCGTTGCGCTCGTGCAGAGCTGCCAGACTCTGTCTCAAATCTTCGACATATTGTTTCTCATAGGCCCCAGCCTCACGAGTGGCGAGACTGTCAATGAATCTGCCGAGAGCTGCACTGTCGTCGAGGCTAGAATTGCTCATTGAAGGACCATCCTGAAGGGACACGCTCGGAAGCACGATATCGCGGCCAATATCTGGAATGATGCCAGTGAAAATATCTTGCACAGTGACATGACTGCGTATCTCCGCAGGTGGAAGTGCCTTCTCGCGTGACCAGTCAGGTACCACCAGCCGAGTGATCGGTAGATCGCCGAGAGCATCTTCAAGCTGCTCGCAAAACAGCTTGAGTGCCCGATTGTTGGCCCATGCTTCGAACATTCCGGCTACACCTTGCATGGCAGCGGGTACATCAATGTATGCCTTGCAACGAGCTTCTCCAGTGGCGGGCGAAGAAACAGGAGGTTGGCCAGGAGCATGTTTCCACTGCCTCATTAACTCATTCGAAAGAGCTTTCACAGCGGCCTCACTGCGTCTCTCATAATCCTCCCTGCGACGCAATTCTGCCATTGTCTCAGTTTCCAGCTTGTCTGCCCCAAGGCGGATCTTAGTTTTCTTGAGCGGAGCAGCGGCTTCTGGGCTCTCATCATACGTGACTTTCTCGATTGCGACTCTCTTCTGAATGGTTTCCAGATCTGCTTCTGTGCCATTCGCTGGACAAAAGCTCTCGGCGTCTGGAGGCACAAGGCCACGCATGGAGTCTGCAGTGTAGAAAGAAGCAACGACCTGGATCAATCGAAGGTTGGCATCCTTGGAGAATGCCAGAGTTGCGAGCCACATACGGAGGGCGTGGAGATCAACATTTGCACTCTCTTGCGTGAGGGTCCGATACAAACCAAGAAGATACGGCGCGATCGACTTCTGCTCTGGAGTCTGGACCAAGATGCCATCGTACCTGAACAGACCCTTCTCGAGTGGTTTGTTGGCCCCGAATACATGGTCCAGACCTTCTAGATGCGACCATAGGACGCCTCGTGCCGGAGGCTGCCACTGAAGCTCATCTCTTCGCGAATTCAGCAGTGAGGCCATACGCCAAGGCTTAGAGCAGCGTTGCATGTCATCGCCTTGATCGCGCGCCTTCGCGTTTTGTGCATCGTTGCTACGAGTGTGGTGTTCTGCTCCAAACCCCTCGACTCTGAACATCGCGTTCTGTGCTAGCTCCCGGTCCAAAAGCTCAGGTGTGACATGGTCTAAAGATGGAATTTGAACATCTGAATTCGGAAAGAAGATCCTCGAGCGTTGTGCCTGAGCGAAAAGCGCTTCTACAGCCTTGTAGAATTCACCATGCTGGGACATGAAGCTGAGTTTGGAACTCCATTGAACGTTCTGCATGAATTTGGCATCTGCTGGGTAGTAGCAGCGGGCTGGCGTGAGCCGCGCAATCTTGGTCAGGAGATAAACATTGTCCTTCGTGAGTTGTTCGAAAGAGAATACAGCGGCAGAGCGGAGTATGGACAGCGCCTGCTCTGTGCCAGTCTTCTTGGTGAGCGGATCGGGCAGCGCAAACGATGTTAGCGCGTGCAGATAAGCAAGGTACAGCTTGGACTGCAAGCTTCCATGATCAACCAGACGGCCAAGTCGCTCGTCAATCTCGAGGTCGTGAACTTTTGCTACTGTATGCCGATCGATGGTGACGCTCATATGATCGTGGACCCGATCGTAGCGCACCTTGCCCTCGGGCACCAACAAGCGTCGATTTCGGGTGCCAGTAGTCGCGTGTAACACCAGTTTATTCTTGAGACCGATCAACACGCCCGAGGACTGGTTCTCGTCAACAGCCATGCCGCGAAACTCCTTCGACTTAAGCAGCTTTTCACGAAGCCGCAAGGTAAACCCTAATTGGACAGTGGGCAATTGAACATCGAGTAGCTGTGCACCAGGCATAAAGACGACGATCATCTTCGAAGCCTCCACCAAAGGTGCAAGAATGATGCTGATAGCGGTTGCTGATGTACTCGTAACGCTCAGAAGTCGCCGCCGCCCAGTTTCTGTTCCGTGCTGCAATACCCACTTTTGCGTCTGCTGCTTGCGGGCCAGAGTCCAGATATCGGAACCAGAAGTACTCCACGGTGCGTGAGCTGGGCGAAACTGCACAGTGTCGCTTTCGACATGGTACCAGTGGACCATTTCATGGACGAAGTGATCCGGAAATTGGCCCTGGAAGATCCTACGTGGTACGAGCTGGAACGTATCGCCACCGTTGCGTGCGAGAACGAGCAGGTCGCGCGGTAGCGCACTGTCTCGAGCGGTCAAGCCCAAGTGAACACTGAAACCTTCACCGAAATGACCCTTGGCTGAGAAGGACATGCCAGGTTGGCCGGAAGCTAAGACCTCGACGTTCGATCTGAACAGGGCTTGGAAGGTCTCATGTTTTGTATAGGCAAGTGGTGGCGCCTTGACACCAAGGCCTGCCACTCGAAGCTCTCCCGAAAGCAAGTTGTAGTGAACCTCCGAACCCTCAACATCGTCAGATGATGATGAGTGGGTGGTCAACCAGTATCCAATGTTTCCACCAAGAGAGGACCAGCCGCTGGCGCTTGCTTCGTACCCAGACCAAGCTCGCTTGATGGCCATGTCTAAGCCCTTGTGATTCGCCTGGAGTATAGGGCGACTGAAGAAAAGTATCTGCTTCAGCTGAGCATCGAGCAGAGTGTACAGCGAGCTTTTATCCCTCTTTGGACGCTCACAAACTGTTATGGCGCAATCGATCAACATAGCGGAGTCTTCGGGATCCGCTAGGATCTTTTCCAGACCATCGCGTCCAACATTGAAGGTTGCCGAACAGACCAGAGCGACCTCCACGGCCTTAGACAGGAAATGTAGATACTCGGTCTGATCGTCAGTCTGTTGCGCCTTGCTCCGCAGTGTCAGCAACCAGTTATATGCCGCTGATCGTATCTGCTTCAAGAGCAATAAACACTGCTCAGGCATGCCTCCAGAGCCGCCTAGCGCGTTTAGCCGACAAGCAATAGACGATAAGATGACCAACGCGTTCATCGATTCCCAATTCTCCTTCACCCGCAACAGAGCCTCGCTTAAAGCTTCTAGCAGAACTGTCGAGAATTTACCATGGCGAAGCACAGCATGAGCCGAATATGCAGAAACTATATCATCCTGGCCGTTTCTCGGTCCCGCTTGGTGAATGCATTGGAGGAAAACCAGTACTGTCTCTTCTTTCTTGAAATCAACGTTTGGCATTGCCAGTTGAAGTAACATGTTGTACCAGTGTAACCGCAAATCGATGGGGATGTTGCACAGTTCCTTGAACTCATCGAGAGACATGTGGTCCGGACACTTTGACTGCGCTGCAATGGCGTCGTTGGGCTTGCATGTAGCAGAAGAACGTGCAGGTCGGTACAGAAAATCCGACACGGCCTTCGACCGGCCAGTGAAGGAGAACGTGCACTGTCGCGCGGCCACCTCCGTTGGAGTCATTGTCTCAATGAAGAAGTCGGTGGCTGTGTCCAAGTATCTGTATTGAGTTGCATTACGCCGGCATACATTGGACTCATCAGCCGCGGAGACTCGGATCCATCTGCGGTGAGTAGCAGCGTGCATCTTGTTCTTCGTCCAAAGGACAACGCGCTGGTCTGGTTGCGCACTATACTCTTGCGACAAGTGCGGGTCGTCCTTGAGGGCATACTGGTTCTTCGGTTGAACGGATCCCGTGTTTTCCAGACCAAGCACGTCACTGAGCACAAAAATTGTAGAGTCCCGCCATTCTGCAAACCACAGAGGTATACAAAGCTCGAACACAACCGATTTCGCTTCTTGTTCATTGAAGGGCAGAGGATCTTCGAACACCTCCATGCTCATTCTGTCAGCACTGGCATCGAGGATACACTTTTGGCACTTCGAATCATGCTCGAGCGTGGTGTACGTTTTGTATGGCCAATGAGCGCTCTTGTTCTGTTTCTGGTAAAATGTATGCTCGAGCTCGGATGCCGCCTTCTTCTTCTGCTCGTATTTCAGAACCTGTTGTTGCAGCTCCCTAAGCTTCTCCTGTCTACCCTGTTCGCCGAGATGTTCATACTCTTGAAGAAGGTCTTTGAGGGCGGAACTCTTCTTGTTGTCCTGATCGAAGTATCGCACAGCGAAACATTGCTTGTCATTCGGTTGCATGAAGATGCTGGTGACTGCATTGTTCCTACGATCGGTCAAGTATTGCTCGACACGGACTAGCCTCGTCAACTGCTCTCGAGACGGCAGTAACAAGTGTTGCAGGCAGTCCGTGGGTATGCAAGGGTCAAAGCTGGCAAGTAGTGGACAAGCGCTGAGAGCACACTCGTCAAGCGCTATCCACACCTCTAACGTCGTGAGCAATGCACCTGACAGACCTTCAGGATTGCGGTGCTGGCCGAAAGGCTGCTCCTCGCTCTTGGCACGAAGGTCGTAGATAGACTTCGCAAGCTCGTGATAGTGTCTCAGAGCGTCTGCAAGCTGTGGGCAAACGCGGTCGGCCTCTGCAGCGGTCGTGAAGCGGGCCCAGTCACGCAGGCTACGCTTACTCCATTCTTCGAATTCCTTCAGATTGGCAACCTTGTAGGCATCTGCGCCATTGAGCTTCAGGATTGGAATCGACATGGACGGGTGTTCGGCGAATTCTGATTGAGGCTCAAACGTGCTTGAAGTGGAGGCGACTGCGCGGCATCTGAGGCTGCTGAGGTATTCATCGAGCGCTGATAGCGAGGTCGCGCTGTCTTCCTCGAAATTCAATCGCGCCAGCGTGGGCAGACTGTGGCATGAGTTCGGCTCATTTGCTCGGACATGCGCCCATCGCCTGGAGATTGTCTCGTTGCAGACACCCTGCATTCGATGCAAGTGGTTTTGGACATATGGCGGTACACTCGGCCCCAGCTTTTGCAGTCGCCGAGCAACTTTGCAAGACATAGCGTATTGGAGGTCCGTAGAGATGTTCATGCGAACAGAATCTCCCAAAAGCTGAGCGACCAGATACGTCATGAAGGCCTTGTATAGTACATTTCTCCCAGTGGTGATCGACCGCGTACAGATGAGCTGGCACACCACACGAATGAGTAACCACATGGGCGAGCGACGCCATGGGCGCTCGGCATCGTTCCACAGGACATCATCTCGTGTGCGCTTGCAGATTGTTGTGCTTCGAGCACCTGCTGGCTCACCGTACGAACCCAACAAGCCCGCGACAAGCAGCTCGCAGACGATTCCGGGGTGTGTGGTATCGCGGTCTTCGTCGATGGACTCGCTGGCTTTGCGCACCTGTGGCTGTTGATGCGGTGCCGCCTGGCTGCTCATTGTGAAGAGCGCTTGAGCCAGGCCGGCTCGAAATTGAGGCGACTCGAAGGTTGCTCTTGGTATTAATACGGCGCGAGCAGGAAACTGGCGCACGATGCAATTTGCTGCCAAGACATCTTGGTTCTGAGGAGCGAGTTCGAAGGCCTCAAATAGCACATCTTCCCCTGAATGCGTGATGAACAATCCGGCATTCTGAGCCTGGATGCGCAGCGGGAGTGATTGTCCAGGCCCCAGGAACTCGAGACAATTCAGCAGCTCCGTCTCGCTGAGGGTGCCGTCGATAACAGAGTGGCATCGAGTGGCGTTTGAAATGGCGACAACGGTCTTCTCGATAGCAGGACGCGCGGGGTCGGCTACCGCAAGTCCCGTCAGGAACGCGTTGAGTGCCTTGGACGTGAGACTCAGGAGCTCGCAGTCGATGTCGGCTTTGTCCTCAGCTTGTGGGCGTTGCGGCGGCAAAAAGACATGATGGACGACTCTGTCGAACAGGTCTGGATCGCTGACAAGAAGCGCCATGATGACCAAGTGCGTGCTGTAAAGTCGTGTGGTCGGCGAGGTGCTTGTCAACAAGTCATATCGTCGGCGAGGTTTAGGTCGAGATGTGCGCGACCTTGTGGGGCGCAGAATTTGGTTGTGCGGCAATACAGTGTTTGACGCTAATGCACGATCGCGCGCTAGCGTTGACAGGGCTAAGTGAAGCCCGAAGTGAAGCTCGACGACAATGCATTTGCAAAGGTGCAACCACGCAACAACGTCGCCCAATAAAAAGACAAGATTCTGTTGGTAAATTGGTCATCTCTCAGGCAAGACGCTGCCGAGCGTGCTCGGCCTCGTTGCAGATGGCGAAGCGCAAACAGCGGCGTTTGTCGCCAAGGGAATGCGGTGGTAACCTGGACAATCTCGCCGGGCCATTGGAGAATTTGTTGTTAGCGAGCTATCGTGACTGCGCTGAGATTTCGTTGCTTACTTTGGGAAGGGCATTGAGCAGTGCGCGCGCCCGAGCGTGTGAGCTCCATCATGTGCTGCCTTCAGTTGAGGAGATTTCTGTTGTGCATGAGTCTTTTCTATCCTGTGTCGCAGTGATCGACCTCACAATCGGCCCTTTGAGTGCTGCTGCTTCCGCTGACCATAGGATGAGCCATTGTTACGTACGATGTCTGGCGCCAAAGGAAAAGGGCGCTAGCTTTATTCCATTGGTGGTCGAAGGCATTTCCTTGCTCTTTCTTAGCCTCGCCCGAGGACGACAGCTGAGTGGAGTGGGATGCCAACTCCACCCCTTCGCTTCGACTTTACTGCCCTCTCACGCCTCAATATCCACACGCTGCGATCTCGTCTGGAACTCGTCGCCATCTGGCATCGAGTACCTGGCGGCCAGCGCGTCGACGCCAATCGAGCTGTACAAGTCTAAATCCAGAGCCGTGGCAATCCTCGACGTTACCAATCTACACTATGTGGTACCATCCTTCGACGAAGACCAACGAAAGATCTACTGTTTCCTACTACTCGGACAACAACCGGCAAGTTATGCATGATGCAGACTTTGGGCCACCGGCTCTAGACCTTGTCAGCAGAATGTTGCGAGTGACCTTGCTCACAGATTGTGGAACGTCAGCTGAGACATCATGTAATTTACGCCGCAGCAGCGCAACAGCGATGGTTATGGGATTCGTAGCATTGTCAACCTAACGGAGTCCAAAGGCTGCGCCGAGTCAGAGACTTTGCACGTCTCTCGCTCTACCTCGTTGCAGCTCGCGCCTCTCTGCTGGCCAGACAGGACAAGCTGCTGAGTGTCGACGTGCAATTCGAGAAGCCGATCCTGTTTCTGAAGCCGCGAAGGCTAATTACTTCTGGAAGCAAGAAGTGCAAATCGGATGAGCGAAGCGACCTCGATGACATCGCATGGGTTTATGGCAATCGAGCGGAAGTTATGCCTCTCAGTTAGAAGCTGTTCGAGAGCTGGGAAGGCGCCATGAGTCTCCGAAGAAGGCGCGCTGTGAAAGGCAACAGCAGGGTAGACGACGGCCAGGCCCAACACAATGTAAACGCAGAGTCGCGTGGTGATCGGGCGAAAGTCTCTAATGGCATTACTTTGAACCGGAGCTCTGGAGTGGGAGATGAGGTGATGAGGCCGAGAACAGGCTCGAGCAGAGACGCGCTCGGAGAATGCCAAGAAGGAACAGACAACCATACCTTCCACCTGCAGAGCTGGACTGACTGCTGGACAAATCCTAGCTAACACGTTGTGTTGCGTTCGGGTGAACGACTCTCGAATTTCCGAAGCCTGGTTGCGCACAGCATCGAATCTGCTCTCCTCTGGCGACCGGTCAGCCTGCACCTGGGCGTCTCTTCATCCCTTGACTTTTTCATCAGCTCGCCGGCGCTCGCTGGCGATTTGCGGGGAGACGTGCGAGCCATCGGTGGTGTCGTGAGGATGAGGAGGCCAACAAGACAGACACGAGCTGCTGCCAGACGCGCCGCGCCGTCGGCAACGAATGAACCTGTGATGCGCGAAACCTTGACGTCCCACCCTCATCAACCCCAACACGACGGAAAGACGTCCGATACATGATTTGGCCGAAAGACCTTCTCGAACTGCGGGCTCGAAGTGGCATGTGCTTCCAGAGCAAATCACAGAATGGCAGAGGCCGATAGAACCACTTCAACGAATTGGAGCGCGTCTCGACGCGGCCGACCACGGCACCTACGCAGTATGCACTCGTCAGCTGCGCCTCCCCCAGCAGCGATGTAGGGTCACCGACAGGTGTCTGATGGCAGGCATGGATCTTTGGGGACAGAAGGAGGCACGACAACATCCAATCCATTGTCACAAGACGACTGGTACCACCAAGATCTAGCTAGGCGCAATGCGAGGGAACGTATGGTATGTGCCGTGGGAGGATAAGTCAGCGCGCTACATCGCCGGAACGAGGCAAGCATCCCAAACCGAGAAGACACCCTGCGCGAAGCTGCAGTGTATTGAAGGCAATCCATCTGCAGACTCCAGCCCGGACATAAAGGACGAGGAACACCAGCAGCTCGCAAAGACGAAGTCCAGCGCTAAACGCCGCACGCCTAAACAGCTTGCGAAGGATCGCGATGCCCTGATCGGACTATTTGCAACTTCCACAACTCGTCAAGAACAATGGATCTCATGGCTGCGGAGCGCGTCAATCGAACGCCTCACGTTTCAGGCTACCTTCATCAATCTGTTTTTCGACAAAGCGGGCACACGATTCAGAGGGTTTGAGATAATATTGTCATCTGCTGATCGAGCTCCCGCTCTGATCACAGCTTTGGACGCGATTTGTCTTGTCCACGTAGGGACCAAGCACAAAGATCAGCGGCTCCTAGAAGCAGCTCGAGTGACCTACGGCTCGGCACTCGCCAAGGTCCGCCGGGAGATTCTCGCGCCGCAACGGGATGCTTCGCTCTTGGTGGCAGCGGTGTATTTGCTGACCATCTGCGAGTTCTTCTCCGCGACTGCCGCGCCGGATGAGGGCTGGAGACGTCACATTCGCGGCATTTTGCAGCTACTCGGAGCTCTCGATCTAGCAGCCCTAGATCCTTCTATTCGTATACTCGTCGGCACACTCCTTCGGGGTCCCGCCGTCTGGCATGCAATTCTTGAGCGCAAGAGTCTCCCATCTCTCGACAAGATTCAGCATGCACTTGCAGATGGGACCACGTTTAGCTCTTCCACTGGCTTCATAAAATTAGCAGTGAGAGTCCCGGGGATCATAGAGAAAGTGGACTTCCTGCGACACGCAAACCCGCGGCCAAGCGTCGCTGCTCTCTCAATGTGTTGTCGCGAAATCGTATCCCTCTGCAACGAGCTCCAGCACTGGATGACTTTATGGACCGAAACGCTCTTGGAAGAGCCCTTCCAGATTGCGCCTATCTCGATACTCGCCGATAGCAAAGTGGCAATGGCAACTTCCAAGACAGCATTCCCATTCGCCTACCAATTCTCAAACCCGCTCCTCGCACCAAAGCACAGGACTTATTGGACATGTATGCTTTCCTTGAAGCAGGCGCATCTGGACCTTTTCGAAGCGTTTCCAGAGCTCCTCCACGAATTGCAGTGCGATGATCAGGAGATGGAAAGACTCATCACAACTGCGACAGAACTCGCAAATCATTTGTGTATGACAATAGCCTTCGACACAGAGCCAGAGAATGGCTATGTTGCACTGTTCTCCGCGATGGTACCTCTCGAGCTGGCGGCAGCTTGGTACAGGAGACGTAACGAAACTGTCAAGCTATGCTGGTGTCAACGAGCAATGAGGATATTCGAGGCCGCCGGACTGCAGACAAGCAAGCTATGATGACAAGTCTTGAGCGCTCATGCTGCCACCAGCTTAATCTTGGTACAATCATGCAACAGGACGACCGACGTGCAGACTGCTGCTTTCCTGGAACACAAAACACTCGCCCCGCAGTAGGCCGTGCCCCGCACCCTTCGGCTGCAGAAAATGGGCCATGGCTCACATCAGCGGTTCTCAACCACATGCCATCGGTCATCGTCTCAGGTTGTCGCGATATGGCCACACTATCTCCGACCTACTTCCTCCGCCGCGCCACCCCGGACGACGCACCAGCAATCAGAGCCATTGAAGAATGTTCTGTGCAAAAGTTCAGCACGATTCCGGATCTCGCACATCTCGCGCAACCGGGCACTTTCACTCCCAACTCTATCTCCGGGCTGAACACCTGGCTCTCTCGTGGCCGAGTCTTCCTTGTGATGGACTCTTCCGCTTCAGAGCCAAAAGCTGTGGGTATCATCGCGGCTCTCCCGAAGGATAATACGATTTACATTGCGGAGATCTCTGTTCTTGCAGAACATAACGGGAAAGGTGTAGGAGGCATGCTGTTGAATGCTGTCTTCGACTGGGCGCGAGAGCTAGCTATTCAGACAGGAGAGGAAGTGTCGAGAGTGTCATTGACGTGCTATAAGGATGTGCCTTGGAATGGGCCTTGGTATCGAAGGAAGGGTTTTGTCGAGGTTGAGGCGGAGAGCCTTGGCATTGAGCACGAGGAGAAGATGGAATTGGACAGGAAAGTGAGGAAGTTGGAGGTGGGAGGTTATAAGAGGTGTTGCATGCTGTGGACGGAACAACGGGGGAGAGTTTGAGTCAGTATGAATGAGGAGCGTGAGTTGCCTACTGCTTCTCAACAGCAGACGCTTTGCGAGCACGGCATGACGGAAGTCTCTGATCTGATACGAGAGCGTCTCGTCTCGAGCGAGGCTGTGCGTGCTGGCGATGTTCGCTTCGAATGCCTTTCAGATCGCCTCGAGCAGGGGTTCAAAGCAATTTCTCTGACGCCCTGGGCATCAAAAGCTGACACTGAAGACACGGCGCCGGAAATCAATCGCCGCACAAAAAGTTAGAGGGGGCATGACATGTCGCCAAGCAGAAAGGTTGTACTGGTGAGCTTCGTGCGCGCCATGCTCGTATCGAAGAACCGTGGATTACAATGGGCACGAGAACATGAGCAGAATATGTGAAAATACCAAGACACTCATTCTGGGATATCACATGGCACGTTCTCCTAGATATGCCAAAGTAGACATAATCTCTATTTCCATACAACGGCTTCTCCATCAACACGCAAGCCACAGGCCCCGCATCATTACACTGCTGCCGTAATACGTCTTTAGACCGTCTTGCCTTTGCCCTCATGCATATCTCTCCCGATACAACTTGGCCAACGTCGCAACAACAGCAACAAGCACCCATCTTGTGAAGCCTCCCGTCAAACTCTTTCCACCCAGTCCTACAAGTGCGAAAAGCAGCAAAGGTCAGCTAGCTGTAATATCGATCAAACAAGCGAAGGAAAAAGTAGTCAAAAAGAAGAGAATCTGCATCACAACTTGCTCTTCACTCTATCACCATCCAACTCCGGATACTTAGACTTACCAAGAACCCACCACAACAACCCACTTCCCGTAGGGTTCCCATTCCTATCAAAGTCCGGCTTGAGCTCCGACATGCCGCGGAACTTCTTCAATTTTGCATCGGTATAAGGTGGGTAGCGAATAGCCAGTAGCCCTTCGATCCACGCCGGAGTTGTGGTGACACTTCTACGGTGTGTGAAACAATCGAAAGAAGCTTTGCCGCGATAAGATCCTGTACCAGATTCTCCGACGCCACCAAAAGCGAGGGTGGGAATGGAAGCGTGGAAGAAGGCATCGTTGACAGAGGCGCCACCGGAACGAGTCTGGGACAGGACTTTGTTGGTCTCGGCAGTGGTGCCGAAGGGGTAGATGCCGAGTGGAGTGGAGTCGATTCTGTTTGCTGTCCGGATGGCTTCGTCGAGGTCCTGGACAGGGAGGATAGGAATCAGAGGCCCGAAGGACTCATCGGTGAGGAGAGGGTCGTCGGCGGAATTGACCTGGACAACAGTGGGTCCGAAGAAGAGGGTAGACTTGTTGGTATTGCCACCAAGAAGAATTTTGCCGTTGGTACTGTCGAGCATCTTCTTGAGGCGAGTCCATTGACGTTCGTTGATGACTTTGCCGTAATCTGCGGCTTGCTCAGCGCCCTTTGGCTGGAACTCGGCGATGGCGACCTCAAGCTGGCGAACGAATTCGGGAAGGATTTCCTTATCGACGAGAATGTAGTTCTGACTGACGCAGACTTGTCCCACATTCATAAGCTTCGCCCAAAGAAGTCGACGAGCTGCGAGGCGTGCATCGGCGTTCTTGGTGATGATAGCAGGATTGCGACCTCCCAGCTCCAAAGTGACAGGAGTCAAGGTCTCGGCAGCTTTCTTCGCAATGATCGTTCCCACGGCACCGTTGCCAGTGTAGAAGATCTTGTCCCATTTGCAAGCGAGCACAGCAGTGGTCTCAGGAATGGCGCCCTGCACGACCTGATAGCCATTCGGGTCAAGCGATTGTTCGATGATGTGCTGCATGACACGCGCAGCATTTGGGGCATTTTCAGATGGCTTCAGCACAGCAGTGCAGCCTGCAGCAATGGCACCAACCAGCGGGCCCAGTGAGAGCTGGAAGGGAAAGTTGTATGCTCCAATGATCAGCACGGCACCGAGAGGGTCTTTACGATACCGTGGACGCATGGGCCAGTTGGTCAAGGATGTGTCCTCTGCTTTCTCTTCTTTCATGAACCTCTGCAGGTTTTTGCTCATAAATATTATGTCATTGAGAATCCAGCCGATCTCAGTAAGATAGGTCTCGTAGCTTGACTTCTTCAAATCCAACATACAAGCCTCCATGACTGCGGACTCTGCATCTTTCAATCCCCAGTACAAAGAGCGCAGCTGCTTGAGCCGGTACTCTATGGGGCGCGTTTCGTGGGTGTGAAATTTATTGACAACGCGCTGATGGAGTTGCGGAATGGACGCTTCCGTGGTGAACGTCAGCTCGGGAATGTCGTTCATGGTCAAATGGATGGGCATCTTGTGGGAAGGTGTGGAAAGAGAAGAAGAGCAAGGAGAGGGAGCGCAACAGGCAGCTGACGGACAGCAATCATTCGTTCGTAGGCGGGCGTGTCCTACATATGGTGAGCATTCGAGCTGGCGCAATGGGGTCGACCGGCCGAGGCATGTGCCTGTGAAGAGGACGAATAGTGGCCCGAGCGCCTCGCTCTCGTACGTATGTAGGTTGGGTTCGATTTAATGCGCCCTCAGGCTCGCAGCTGCTGACAAGTCGCTCAGACACCTTCCCTCTGGAACAGCCACATCAGTCTTTATCGCGAGTGTGAATTCGTGGGAGCCTGGCAGGAATGCTGTTGTCGAAGACGCGAGTTGCGACGTAACCAAACCACAGGCTGCAAGTGTTGAGCCAGGCTGGAGGTCGTCCAGGGGGGTTTTGTTCATCAAACCTGTCTCCTTCTCAGACCGGCATGCGTCGCTTTTGTCGTGTTTGGTGCGTGGCTGTTTGGTGCGTTTTGGCCATGTCGCTGTTTGTTGGTGTTCTCTGCTAACGACGCTTGTCACTGCCAGCTGCCAAGACAACATATGATTGGAAGTGGCGGTGGGGCTGACTATTCCGGATACGGAAGCAGCTTTATCCAGGGCCTGAGAAGGAGGCAGCATCAAACCCCGCGGCTGCGTGCTGCGTGCTGCAGCTGCTTACGATATTCTTCTGTCCGACTCGACCAGACGCCAATAGCATCGCCTCCGTCTGACGGCCGACTCTCAGCTGAGGCTGCCGCTGCACATCGTCACTCGTTGTTGGCCTTGATTGCGACTGTCTGTCCTTTGATCTCCGCTTGGTCCCGCCGCCCTCGACCCCTCCAGAGCGCCTCTCGAACGAACGACGAGTCCAGACGCAAAGTGCACAAACGGTGCCAAGCAGCGACGCCCGTTCAGTGACCGGTGAAGGTGTGCTGCAGGGAAGGTGCAATCGTCAATTTCATAGCCGCGCGCCTGCACGGATCAGCATCGCCAACGACTCGCGTCGAGCCTCCGATAACCTCTTCATTCCCCACGTACCTGCCGAAGCAACGCACACCACAGCACAATCACCATGAGCGATCTCAATGGGCGGAAGACCTTCAAGGTCTTCAACCAAGAATTCATCGTCGACGAGCGATACACGGTCACTAAAGAGCTTGGTCAGGGAGCATACGGTATTGTCTGCGCGGCTACCAACAACCAGACGGGAGAGGGCGTTGCAATCAAGAAGATCACCAATGTCTTCAGTAAAAAGATTCTCGCCAAGCGCGCTCTCCGTGAGGTGAAGTTGCTGCAACACTTCAGAGGCCACAGGAATATTACCTGCTTGTATGATATGGACATCCCCCGGCCCGAGACCTTCAACGAGTGCTACCTGTATGAGGGTGAGTGAGCAAGAGCAGACAAAGCAGAGAAAGCCTTCTGACACACGAGATCGTAGAGCTCATGGAGTGCGACTTGGCTGCCATCATTCGCTCAGGACAGCCATTGACGGATGCGCACTTCCAGAGCTTCATCTACCAGATCCTGTGTGGTCTGAAGTGGGTAATCCTTTACACCTCCACGCCAATTTTGTACTGATCACCACACTCTAGATACATCCACAGCGCAAACGTGTTGCACCGAGACTTGAAACCAGGAAATTTGCTTGTCAACGCCGATTGCGAGCTCAAGATTGCCGACTTTGGTCTTGCTAGAGGTTTCAGCATTGACCCAGAAGAGAACGCAGGATACATGACCGAATACGTTGCCACGAGATGGTACCGAGCACCAGAAATCATGTTGAGCTTCCAGAGCTACACCAAAGCCAGTATGTGCCCCTCTGCACGCAACCACGCCCCCGCACTAACACATGATTGCAGTTGACGTCTGGTCGGTTGGCTGCATCCTCGCCGAGTTGCTGGGCAGCAAGCCCTTCTTCAAGGGTCGCGACTATGTCGACCAACTCAACCAGATTCTCCACTACCTGGGAACCCCATCCGAGTCCACCTTGTCCCGCATCGGATCTCCACGTGCCCAAGAATACGTTCGCAACTTGCCATACATGTCCAAGATTCCATTCCAGCAACTCTTCCCAAGAGCAAACCCCGACGCGTTAGACCTTCTGGACCGCATGCTTGCATTCGACCCCTCGCAGCGTATCAGTGTCGAGGACGCTCTCGAGCACCGCTATCTCTCCATCTGGCACGATGCATCCGATGAGCCGGCATGCCCAACAACCTTCGATTTCGGCTTCGAGATCGTAGATGAAGTGCAGGAGATGCGTCAGATGATTCTCGACGAAGTGCGGAGATTCCGCCACTCCGTCCGCCAGCCACAACAATACGCCCATGCCCAGCAACAAGGCCAGCAACAACAAGTCCCGATCCCTGACAACTACGACCCACGCGCATACGAGGATCCACGACCCCAGGAACTGGGTCAGGCACCGGGTGGAGCACAGCACGATCTGGAACGCGAGCTGCAGGGTCTGGATGCAATGCGGCAATAGGAATGCCGTCAAGCACTCCAGAACGGCAATTTTGACGCGGAGCGGAGAGAGCGTGACGAGTGGGTGGAGCAAATGTTGAAGCAGAGCAAGGGCAAGGAGCATCATGAGCTCCCCCTACCGACCGTATACTGCCTAGAGGATTGGTGAAGAAAAAAATCTCGAGGCGAGGAGGGTCGTGCACATGTCGTGATGATGCTAGCCCTTTTGATCTGTTGGGAAATGGAAATGGAAATGGAACGAAGTGACGGTCGACTGAAATGGAATACTTGCATAGCGAGATGACAGTTTACTATAATGGTCGGATAAAAAGAGTTATGGGTTGAACTTGTGTCAATGCATGCCATCAGAGTGAAGTCTCGCCAATTTTGGCTTTTCTGATTTTCTTTCGTCCTCGTTGCAGCTCTTGTCTACCAATGGCGCCCTCCCTCTGATCCTCTGCCTGCTCTTGCTCCTTACGTCTTCCCTTGCTGCTCTCGCCCTGCTCATATGCATACAGGAAGGCGCAAACAAGTATTGTGTTGTTCGGACAAGACGTAAGGACATGGCTCTTGAGAAAAACCTCGTGCGAGATACAGTCAGAGGTCGTCCAAGGTCAAAGATGAAAAGCGAAACTTGTTGCATAGAGGATACTCTCATTGGCGGTACAAAATACTGGTTTGAACCGGCAGATTCCCAGGCAATGAACAATCGCAGCTAGCAGACTCTAGTTGAGATCTCCCCGTCTCCATTCGCAGCTCCTTCCGCTCAACATAGTGACGAAAAATCTGCCTGTTCTTGAAGCAGTCCGTTCCAAGGCACGCTGCATGCCAACTACGCACGATATGAGGCCAAGCAAGACCAGTTCGAGAGGATGTCGATGGGCCCTTCGCCGTTCACGTATTCAGTAGAGAGCCTACCTCGTTCCATCTGCATCCGAGACTCGTTTCAATGTGAAAGAAGTGTTCTTTCCCTGCGTTGTGGCAGTCGAATTGGCGGTCTTCCACACAACCTTCGAATACTTGTCATGTAGGCCAACTCGTGCATGTTCGCCAGCGAATCGTTTCGTGCTGAAGAGCTATTGTGCTGTGTCTCGTCAGAGACTCCTCATCATTTTCTTGAGTGCCGCGCCTGTCGCGCCTTTTCGCTCCAGAAGTCACCTATGCACCGGAGATTCGGCATCCAAGCCACAGCCCCGTGAGAATACGAAGAGCGTGGCGCGTCCACAAAGCTTGTCCTGCTGACCTCACGCGCATTTTCCTCCCTCTTCTTTCTTACCCAGGCGCGCTGTTCGGGGCAAAGACTCGGTCTCCCAGAACCTCACTCCGGATCGCTCGACAGGGTCGAACATGGCCGGTCGTCGCTCCAGAGAATACTGTACCAGTCTGCGAGTGAATTCTGGTCCCATGTTGCCAAGAACGTCTGGCTTATAGCACTCTGCGCCCTGAATTGTGCTGTACCTTTGTTGTTGTCCTCCCCTGCCTGTGTTCAATTCAGCCGCCCCCGCGTGCTCGGAAAGATGAGACAACTACGTGCGGATATGTGCCAGTGCCATCCCACGCTCGTTCTCGCACCGAATAGCGCGCGACAAGAATTGTAGCATGGCTGCATGGGCCGAATGCGCGGCGTGGTCAGAGTGGTAGTGATGACGATCAGTCACCGTATGTGCTGCGGCTTCGATTCAGAAATGCCATCGCGCGTGAGAGTGATACGCTTCGTGGATTGCGAAAGAGTCGAAGTCTTGCTCATCGGATGCAGACGCTGAGTAGTCTTGTCGTTTCAACAATTTGCCTGGTCGTGGTTGTTCAACCGGAAAAATGTGCCATGGCCGTAACAAGCCCGATATTGGCTGGCAGGATTCATGGCTTTAGTATACACCGCTTCCGGTTGCCAGTGCTTCGAGACTACAACTAGAGTCACTCCCAAAATTATGGCGTAAAGACTGTGACGAGCCGTCTTCGATCATTGCAGCCAGCGTTTATTTTGTCTCAGATTGTTGGCACGCAGACAGAAGTTTTATCCAGCGAATGCATGGGAGCGACTGTCTCGGCTTGCAGTGTCCGTATCAAGCTAGAAGATCGGAAGAACTCAGAATAGAACGACAGCTACAGGACAGTGGTGTCACGAATGGATCTACACGTAGAGGTAAGCACTTTCTGTCGCATTGTATTGCTCACCGAGAAAATGTAAAGCCAGTCCGTGTTCAATGCGTCCCACAAGCGTGGGCATAATCTTGTGCAACGAAGTAGTGTGCTCGTATACCATGATTCGGTAGATCAACAGATTTCATGCGGAACCGATTGGCCAGTGGTCGGAACCGCAACAGAAACGCCAGCCTGTGAGCACTCGCAAAGATCCATGATGCTTGCAAGGGCACACGTCTGCCAAGCCATTGACGATGGGCGAGCGTGAGACATTGTCCGAGTAACCATCTTCATGGCATAGGCATTTCTCCGCGGCCGTCATTCCGAACAAGAGCTTCTCAAAGCATCATAGCACTCATCTCGTCCGTACGCTGCCGGTGTTCGTGCAGCATTGTGTCGTGGAAGATGTGCGCCGCAACACGCGTCCGATAGCGCAGCTGGCTGGCATCGAGGTGACCGCTAAGACCCCAGCTACAGCGGCTACATCGGTCGGGACAACCACGGCCAAGACAGCCACGACAGCATGCTGCGTGCGCTCTGACGAAAGTCGTATCATGCGCATGAGCGGAGACATCTGCGATGCCTGCCGGATGTCGATCCTCGGTGCTTGACGTCGTAGCACTAAGGCCGTCTTCATTCGGCCTGAGCTTGAATCGCTTGGGGAAGCCATGTGCAGCAGCGACTAATCAGAGCATGTCGACATGTTGACGTGGCTCTTGATTAGCGACATTGCTATCGACAGCTGCGAAACAATGGTATTATGCATCTGACATCAAAGCAATCGACGATGTTGATGATGTCTCGGGTGTGAACGTGATATACCCCGTTGTGACGTCGATGTATCGACTTGTATCTCACGTGGAGAAGCAATGGAGGAGTCCTGTCGACACCTCATGTCTTGGCAAGATGTCGCCTGTGCTAGTCTGGAGATGAGAGCGACGAGAAGGACCCTCGTTTGACAGATCCATAGCGCTGAGCACGGGTCGACGGGCGCTGTTGAGAGGACTACCATCGCATCGTCCCCAACCAGAAAGGAAGACAGTGTGTGCTGAAAGCATCACCAACGTGCCCTCTGTTCGTTCTGGAACTCGAAGTGATTGTTGTCTCACTCCGCGATCTTCCGCTCTCACTTGGAACACCCCTAACCGCAGTTGGCTGTAGTACGGTCTTCATCTCGAATGCTTCTTCAGCCTTGGCGGCATACTCGAACAGGATATGCGGCGCTTAGCAGCGAGAATATCGGAGGATCCAAGCCCGCAGCCATGTCTCAGAGCGAGTTACCACATGGGATCGTCCGCGAGCACGAAATGGGTCTCTTGACATCAATGTGCGTTGGAAAATGCGGCGACCATGAGTGCTAGCAAAGATCGTCTGCGAACGCGCAAACCGATCGAGCTTTATGGGCTCCTCAGTTGTGTACTTCAATGTCCTTGGTCTCTCGCAGTCGCGCCAGAGCGGTGCTGGAGCACTGGTCTTGGTGTGCCTCACTCGCATGCCTCCCCTGCGCGGGGCCGAATAGCTGGCTCAATGAAGCTAGGATTGCGAGTTGGTTGCTGATCATGTTGACATCGTGCGGTCGATATAGCCGAAATGCTGTACTGTAGGCATGTGGGTTCTCATACCACCTGTTGTGCATGGAGATCAAAATGTAGCATTGCGAGAGCGCGTGAGCCGTGGTTGAGCCTGCGAATGCGTCGTGTGCATGGAGGTCCACTGGATGTTGTGACAGAAACCACGATGTGTTTCGAGTTGCACTTGCGCACGAATATGGCCCGGTGATGTCCTGCAATGTTGCAAATGACCTTCATCATGACCATATCGGGGGATTCTGGCTGTTCCACTGGCACGTAGTCTGTATGTAGCTAGGTAGTCAGGGCACAGCAACGCCGAACGTGCACCAACCTGCTCTGGCGCTCATCACTGGTGAGGTGATGGCAGACGTAGTACCACGACACGACACGGGCGCAAGCCAGAACTCCAAGGGGGGTGGTTTTTGACGCCAGGATGTATGCATTAGATCCTGGTGCAGCGCACTGGCACCATTTCGGCGCGCTTGCCGGCTTACTTCTCTTCACGGGAGCGAATGCATCCTCGACGTCAGACTTGAACTATAGTAGTAGTGTGATCGCGACAGGGAATCTTGTATTTTGCCGCCCTCAGGTGGTCTGCACGATGAGATGACATGCAGGCGTGGGCATTTCGAAGAGTGGAAGATTGGCATGTCGAAATGCATCTTTGCGTGGGTTGCAAGGGTATTTCGCATTCGCGCCGGCCAGCAATCTATCGTCGAAGGACATAGACGCCGGATGCCAAAGGCCTTGACTAGCTGGCAGTAGTGCTGGGAGAATTTGGAGACTAGAGGCTGGATGTATTGACGCGTCCTGTGCGTGAACTCACTGCAAGTCAGCACGTCCCAAACCCTTGAAAGGTACCTGATCTGAATCTCAGTGCTGAGACCAACGGAGCTCAGGTCAGACACAGAAGAACTGCCGGTGTTGAGAATGTTGTTATTTTGGATTTAGAGGTGAAGCGGCGGTGGCCATGAAAGTTCGCGTCCCAGATTGTGAGAACCAAGCTTCCAGAGCAAGATTGCTGCCGTATTTCGGCGCTGTCCCAGCCAGACATTTGCCATCGGCTCGGCTTGTTGTTGGTCGTTGCCCAGCCGGAGTCCGCTAGGCGAGTGTGGACCGACCAAATACAGGCAAGACCATGGCAGCAACAAGTTGTTGACCAAACCCACCCGTACGGGATGCCTATTATGAATCGCAGAATTCGCTTACGAACGCGAAGAATCGTCGGCAAATTGTTGGTCGCAGTGTACATGTCCACGGTGAGCATCCCGATCATGATTCGCGCTGGACAAGATCCAACCACAGCATGATTGATGATATGTTCCATTGGAGAGCAGGAGACTCTGATTGGCGAGAGCGTACCTTAGCTCTGTCACCTGTAGAGTATGTACAGTACGATGATGTGCCGAACGGTGACTGTATACGTTCATGACTCGCAGAAGCTAGGAATCCAAGTAGAAAGTCGAAATTATTGTCGCCTTCGCAAGGCAGCGATCGAGTGGGCGTTGGCGGTCGCTGCGCTGATGATCTACTGTACCGTCCTCGTATCGCCTGTGTCGCGCGACTGTGGCAAGTTGATCGCGGTCTGTCACGGTCGAGGCAAGCGAGGAGGCCGCCAACCGTGTTGCTGTGCAGCGAGGTTCGATAGTTACGTGCATGGTCCGAGATTCACGCGCATGTGCTTCCGTTTCCATAAAGCATAAGCGTGGCAAGCCAGCATGTCCGTGAAACAGCCGACATAGCATCGTGGTTGAAGCCGCGGGCCTTGTGCGAACCTCAACCGAACTTGGCAATTTAACCTTGGCCGCTACTGTAGCCCTGGACGTCAAGGTAGCGACGGCGTGAACCTTGGCTCAGCTCAGGATGCTGGGCTGCACATGGTGAACTTTGAGGCATGTGAGGCGATGGGCCCGTTGTCTGCGGTTTGCTGTCGACCGTGGTGAGAGCAGCGCGGACGACGGCGGATGCGGCAGGCGCAGTGAGGCCGCGACGAGCAGTGCGTGGCAGCGGAGCGGCGTTTCAGCGCGGATCGGCGTGGGCGCGAAGTGAAGAGCCCACAGTCAATCAAAGAC